CGGATTAATATATAAGCTCCACTGCCTGAAAGTACTAGTTGCTACAGTTAACATTTTATCTAATTTGTCTTTGTCTACATCAATTAAGTCAATGTCATCTGCGTACTCGCACTCCAAAGGTATACAATTATACGATATAGGTGGATTTGGTCGAAATGAATTGCAGATGGCACGTGTTTGAACTAATGCACCGGCTAAGGTAACAGTAAATAGAAGACCAGACAAACAATCACCCTGAAAAGAGCCAACAGTACTCTCAAAAGCAGCAGATACATTATTACCGATCCGAACTCTTAAAACAGTATTTGACAATAAAAATCTAACTAATCTAAGACTATCTTCATTACACCCAGCGTCTTCTAACAAATCAATAACAGTTTTTCTTTTAATCGTGTCAAAGGCGGATGTCATATCAATTCCAATTTTATGAAATGAAAAGTCACGTTTCGTTACCACTGAGATTAAAATTCTCTGACGCCAAACAATGTCTGAACATCCTCTACCTTGTTTGTAAGCGCTCTGCCATGGACCAGTATACTCTTCAACTGTTTTTTCAATACGTTTAAATGTCAATAATGAAAGAATCTTTCGAATAGAATTGCTTAATGTTAATGGTCTCAGACTCTTGCAAGGACCTTTTGGTTTATTTGCTTTTTGAAGTGGTGTAATAATTCCTTCGCCAACACAATTCATATATGTATTTGTCTCGAAGCAATTATTAACTATGTTAGCAATTTTTTCATGAAGATTGTCATTCGCATACTTAAACAACTCTCCAGGAATTTGATCCGGTCCACTTGCACGGTTATTTTTTAATGCTAAAGCGGCGTTTCGTATTTCTTCAACTGTGATAGGATTATTTAACGGTTTTGCAATATCGATAAAAGCTGGTAATGAATCAACATCGTCACTTGTAAACTGCTTCTGAAACCAGTCTTTTACTATTTCTACTTTACGTTTATCTGAGAATACCATATTATTATCTTGATCAGTTACATAAACATTTTTAGATTTCTCAGACTTTGACAATTGTTTGACTGCTTCAAACATTTTACGAGAGTCGCTTGTTGTATTTATGACTTCAGCTAGTTCATCTGCATTTTTTTCGTCAATTTCTTTTTGACGTTTAATTATTAAGTTCTTACATTTATTTATTTTTTTACGAATTACTGTACGGTCAAGTGACTTATTCGTTTCATTTAATTTTAAACTTAACTTATATCTTTCATTAGAGATCTGTGCAATTATTTTGTCATTACCTGTATTACATTTTGATTTTTTTACACAACCAATAGTATTTCTTGCTGCTATACGAATACAATTTAACAATTTAGTCATACAATTATTTGGATTTAAGTGCTTATTATTACAGTCAGAATTGGTTATTTGTACTTCAAGTTCATCACAAAATTGATTTCTATTTTGATATTCCTTTAACAGTGAGCAGTTATATACTTCTCTGGATTTGTGCTTTTTAAATGTTAGTACTCGATCATGTACCTTAAATTGTGCACAAATAATCCTGTGGTCACTATAAGTCCTAGTACCAGAAAATGCTCTTATATAATATATAATATATATAATATAGAGACTCATTTTTACATGCATTATACTTTAGATAAACAATTCTAATACTTTCAGGTTTTCAAGATGAAAAAATCCAAGAAATCCTGAAAAAAATCACAGGAATGCAGTTGGAAAAAATATTTAAACCAGCAACAGAGAAATTAGAACCACCAAAGTACAAACTATTAAGCCAAGAGAAACTTCAAGAGGTAGGCCTATTGTCCACAAATGTTACAGCCAAACTGATTGAACAAGAGTAAGCCTAGAGCTGTTTTGTAGTGGTTGCTTTTCTATAGCCAAGGTTTCAAATCCCATAGAATAGGTTTTTTCATGACAGAGGAAAAATACCCCATTTCCTACAACGTAGACATCATAAAGAGACTTAAGCCGTGTTCACATTAGACACCCCACGAGAAAAGCTAAAGCCACCCCCACCCCCATTGAAAATGTCAGAAGCAAAATAATTACGCTCAAATAGTTAAAAATCACCTCATATCACCTTACTTTATAACCTAGTTCCCCCTCACCTAATCATCGAGCCTCCTTCATTCCCCATCAGCTTGTCAATCAGCCCCTTCCCTCTGCTTTCATTCTCCATTAGCTCTCCCATCAACCCCCCCCCCCTTCCATTAGAGCTTCCCCCTCCCCATTTGAAACTCCTGGTTGCAATTCAATGCCTTTAGTTTATCGAGCATCATTTCATCCTGTCATTGGCATGTGTACTTGCTGTAAAAACAAATGTCAAGAATCTCTCAATTTTAAGTAATTTATCGGCATTCATTTTGTTTTTTAGTTTAGAGAAATTGCAATGAGGGCAGCAGAGGAGAGGCTTCAGATGCCCCCTGTGTTGGAGGAACGGAAGGAAGATGATACGGTAATTGTGAAAAACCCAGAACTAAGAGGGTTAGAGACTTCCAAGTATATTTTCACTGATATTACAGTGGGAATCAATGACCGGGTAAGCAATGTTACCAGTTAACAATTTACTTAAATAATATATAATTATATGGAATCTTAAGGTCCACTGATTAATCTCAGATAAGATAGTATAATACATACTCCAAGTATCGAAATGCACACCATCGTGTCGGGATTCAATATTTTGACATTAAGTATGTCATCATCAGGAATCTTCATTTGGCAATCCATACAAGTACTAAAAATATGGTTATAAAGCAATTGGTATAGTGCTTATCTATACAAAAGTGGAAATTATTATACTTCGGTTGGATTAATACATTCAAAAACTTTTTCATGCATTAATCTGACCTTTGTATAATAATTGGATTGGATTGGATTGGATTTATTCGGTGTAAACACCAAGGATAGCCCACGAAAGTCTAGAAGAAGACTTATTTCCAGTGGGGTCCTTCTGGTGGTGATTAGACAGTACACCGGGAGACAATCCCCTACTCTTTTCCGAAGAGTGTACTGTGTTCTTTAACGTGCACATGGGACCAACGGCTTAAACGTCTCATCCGAAAGACGGTGCGCTATTTTAACTTGCATTTCAGCCCTCTAGCTGAAACACAAGGAGAGGCAGCGATGGGAATTGAACCAGGGACCTAGAGATCTCCACGGTTCAGCGCACACACACTGGCTACCACCAGATTAGCCGACTGAGCTAAGCTGCCTTTCATTAGTGTATGATACGCATCTGACCTAATTTCTTATTATTAGTGACTCGGCTAAATTCAGGGACCTGATTGTGTGTACAGCAGGGATTTGAGGCCCTGTCTAGATTATCAAATTTTATGTGAAAAAAAAAACATGTGACATGCCTAAATATGGTCATAATGACATCACATCATGACCATATATAGGCACATCATGATTTTGTAAAAGAACATTTGATAGTGTGGACAGAGCTTTAGTCTCCTCTGACAACCGGGAGTTCTTATTCGAGGGAGGCGTCAAATTGTGACTGTGTGATCATAAGACTTAATGATCACAACCAGGTTAGAAAAAATTTAATTCTGCAGGAGTAGAACATTAGTAGAATGTGTTGAGAATGATGTTGCTTCCATTTGATTTGTCTACAGTCATTTAGGGGACAATTTATTAAAGGTAAAAAATAAACACCCAGTGCGTTTATTCGATTGAGGCATTTATTCCAAATACTGTAAGGCTCTAGAGGAGGAGTTTATTTAAAGCGGGCCCTTTATTCCAATAAATATAATATATGTTGTACTAACTTGTGACCATTTTAAAGAAATTGTGTTACCAAAATGTCATTTTCCCCTTTTTATATTTTCAGGAGCGTTTCATTGTGGTGAGGGAGCCCGATGGAACATTACGCAAGGCAAAATGGGAAGAGAGGGACAGGCTCACACAAATATATTTTCCAAGACAAGGCCGTGCTCTTGTGGCGCCAACTTTGTTTGAAAACCTGCAGGTATGTTAGAAAGGTTCTACCTTCAACCAACCACTGCAACCCAGGCCTGTAGCCAGGAGGGATTTTGGGGGTCCGGCCGAAACACCCATTTTTAATATTGTAGTACAGTAGTATTTTATCATAACTTTTTTTTATTAAGTCTGGTTTCCATAGAAATCGCTACACGCTATCACCGACTCCTTTGGTGACGCTGATTGGTCAGTTGAATAAGAGAGCGTTGCCGATTGCCTTGAGGACAGCTATGCAGTGCAACGATTGCATTAAAAAAAAACTGTAATGTAGCGATTATATGGAAACAAAGCTTTTCAGAACACTTCTAAGTTAAACTTGGCCAGGCAGGAAACCCTCCTTCACATGAACCTAGTTATGGGCCTGCAACCAGTGAAGGATGCAGAACTGGTTAAATTTTCAACAGGTATTAAAGTATAAATATGGGCTCAAAATTTATTAATGATGTCATGTTTTGAGAATCACTTTATCGTTTTGTTTCCCCAGAATTTCTTTACCAGTGACAGGCATGAAGAACTGTTGGATCTAACCTGTGTACAGTTTGAACCGGATGACAAGAATTTCATTAGAGTATGATGTTAAATTTTATATAACATGTATTTAGATTCTTATCATTTGATTGGTTGAATATAGGTCACATGGATTTTATTAATTGTTCTATTCAATAATAAGAAATTACATTGCTCAGCTGATGTCAGTTTTCTTTAATTTTTCTCTACCCTTTATTGTAATTTTATTCGACAAAAACATGTGACATGCCTAAATATGGTAATGATGACATCACATCATGAACATATAAAGGCACATCATGACTATATATGGACATACAATGGTAGACGTAAAGGTAGGAAAATAACCGATAACTCGCAGCGTCATTGTTATCACTGTGCGGAAACAGGTGCTTATAGTAGTTCATATTCAATACAACAGTTCAAAAAAGAAATACAAGATGTATTGCTTAGGTTATTACTTTTCTACTACCAATTTGTTTTATTAATAATATAATAATCCTAGTAAATTATTTTTTTATTACTCTCCAATATGTTTTGTTGATTGGTTTATTCAGGTTCACAAAAGTGTTTATGAAGATATTGGGAATACATGGAAATATGACTTACTTAGATCAACACGGCACTTTGGCGGCATGGCATATTATTTCACTCTCAATAAACGGATAGATGGACTTTTAACAGACATGATTGAAAGAGATTTGTAAGCACTCATTTGTTTAATTAATTCTTTTGATATGTATCGGTCATAGTTTCAGGGGTGGCGCCAGGATCCAGAATTTGCCCAAATGGTGCGGGGATCTGATTTTTCTGATATGGAAGCTGATGTCCTAAACGACAGCATTAGTGGGTGTGGTCTCAGGCATCGCTCAAAAATCTTTCGAAACTTAATTATATAAAAAGCAATCAAAATATCACCAAGAGTATATCTTTAACAGTACACTTAATGATAACTGTATATTCTGTCTTTTGTGATGTTCATGTTTTATTATGACACAATTTTTCTATAGAATTGAAGATGCTATAGAACTTGTGTGTCTATTCCTCTTGCTTCATCCGGACTGTTCATCTGGGAAAGAAGTGAAGGAGAAAAAGTTGACTAGGATCGACATAATAAAGGTGGGCTTACATCTCAAGATTCACTTCATTACAACTGTGGCATGGTGGTAAAGTGCCTGTCCTCAAACCCAGGATTCTGGGTTCAAATCCTCAATACTAATAATATGTTAAACTTATATGGTGCTTCATGCCACAAGGATTTGTTGTGTTTCATATTATTACCACCGGTCATTGAATCAAACACATATGGAACACATAGATTCCTGGGGAGAATTCCGTGTTGCAGCACATACGAAACATATTTATTATAAAATATTATTTATTCAGGATAATAAACTGTACATTTCATAAGGAATATTTGTACAGTATATTGGGTTGTTTTTGGGGTTTTTTTTCAAAACATTGTCCAAAATTGACAAAAAATTTGAAATATATGACAGTGTTTAATGTGAATTCATGATTACTGTTATTAATAGTGATTTTCTTTTGTAGGCCTACCTACGCCTGGATACACCTCACCCAGGAAAAGTGGAGCTAGCTCTACAGGCATATGAGAATGAACTCCAAGAGCAAAAGGCTACTGAACAGAAGGAAAACAACTGAAAATTTCAAATTAAAATAAATTTAGTTAAAATATTTCTGTTGGCGTTTCAGTTCAGTATCGCACAACTGTCCTTGAAGACAAGTCTGCTGCCCTCTCTAGCCTTCACTGGCAACTAGTTGAGGGCAGTAGTATTCAGGCTTTCCAACTGCAATTTTTTGTTCAAAATGATTTTCAATCAACTGGTACACTAGTGCACTAAGCTGGAAACCATTCCTCAAGCCGTGTTTACATAAAATCGCTACACTCTATCACTGACAGCTTTCAGCAATGCTGATTGGTCAGTCAAATAAGGGACAAGCTGACGTTGATGATGAATCAGAGTTTATTAAAAATACTACTAAAAGTTGAGGTGTTTTTCTAGTAAATTAAATAAAAAAATTTAAATATGAAGTAATGCATTGTCTTTTACTAACATCATGCCGTCATCCATCCCACAAATTCACGTCAATTTGTCATGTTTGAAGTAATGTTACTGTATATATTAGATTTAGCTTAATGTTTACATCACCTGCAGAACAGTGTCAAAACAGTTCTGGGAAAAAATATTTGAACATTCTATAGAAGCACTAAATTGGGTGAATTTCTCCTCAAAATTGTGAACTCTTCTGCCCGGATTTGTAAAGGCGTGGATCACCAGTTGGCTGTTTTGATCTTGTGGTTGGCGTTTTATTGGACAGTATTATAGATTACATTATAAAAAAATAAATCACCAAATTTGCCTCCCTGAACACAAAAAAGCTAATTTTTCGAGTGCGTTCTGCCCCTGGATGATCACCAGGGACCATTAGCACCCACAGGTCCTTACTGCATCCACCAAACTTTCAAATGTGATGTATCCTATGCATACACAGGCTTGTCACATAAAACTTGATAACAAAAACAGGAAATGGTGTTTAAACAACTTTTATTACAGAAAAAAACAAGGATAGTTTGTTTCTCAAGGTAAAAATTTACATCAGAAATTTGTCTTCAAAATATTTTACAATCCGGGTTTACAACAGCACAGGAAAACTGTTCCTTCATCCTAATTAATAGATTACAAAATAGAGGGTGAAATAGCACAGAAGGTAATAGCATCAATAGTTTTTTTACAGGGGGTACCCTAATATTTATTTGTGTATTAATATACTGTATTCCTGACCTAATAACTCTAAGCTACTGAAGTTTGTTTTTTTTTTCTTTTGTTCAAATGATTACTGTACAACTTTGTGAGTATTGTTTTTTTACAAACAGATCCAGGGCAAAAAAAAAACACATGTTCCTGGCAGCAACCAATAAATCCCTACCCCCAGTCCTTAACACATTACGTGTGTGCCCCTCCATCGCAAAAACATTCTGAATCTTCCCGTTTTACAATTGACAGAGTACTTACAACAATACATTTCCCTCAGTCAATGGATTACTTATTGGCTAACATGGACAACAAGGCAACCTCTTGTTTTACTCCTTGATGGAGAGATGAATATAATACACCCAGCTTAGAGAGTACTTATATAATATATATACATTATCTATGTTGAACATGATACAGGTTCAGGGCACAGTGTATGCCCTTAATCAGCAACAGTGTGTTGTTACAATTCTGAGTATACAGTATTACTATAATTTCTCCAAAAAAAATTGAAAACAGTAAGTCCTAATCATTTTAGTGAAAAATGATATAACAAAAAAATATAATATAAAAATTAAATGTAATGAATTATAATAAATTATAATTACAAAATTATAATTAATTACAATATTTGTTAGAAAACATTATTATTTTAATGTAAACATAAAAGATGAAAGCCTGTAAATATGGATAATTTATCGCTGTTTGTTTTAAGAAATAAATATTTAAAGTTAGGAATGTAAATTAACGTCAATGAACATCTTGCATGAAACATGTTCAAATTATCTGTATCCACTACTGGAATTGAATGGTAAAGCTGTGCTAGGCACTTTACATGAGGCACAATTAGTAACAAATTCTGAAATGGTCACTTAACTACTAAAAAAGCTAAAGATATTTAATATCACATCTTGCTGCAGGTGCAGATATTAGAACCAGGGGCAGCGCTAGCGGGGGTCAAGAGGGGAAAAAGACCCCTGCTGGGACCCCCTATCAGGAATTCCCAGCAAGGTCATCTTAAATGTATTATAATATATCAAAGGTTTGACCAGTTTTTGTACAAATGTTTACTTCTTATTTCTAATTACATTGGCTGGTTATGGTCATGCACTGAACTAGTTTGCAAAATAAGGTGATACTTTTTCAATTGGGGGAATGCATCCCCGCGCACCCCCTAAGTATGCTATTGAGAGTGGAAGACAATGTGGTATGGTATTAGCAGCGCAAACATCCATCTATTCTGGATTTAGAATTCCTTTACAATTGTGTGAAAAGGGGTTTGTCTCCCTGTAAAACATGGTTAGGCCTTTTTCAAAAGCATGGTCACACACATGGGTACGCAGATATATTTTGAGTGGGAGGGAATGGCTACATGTATGCACATGCTGTTACAGTCAAAGATAAGTAATTAACAAGTTAATTTCTAAATTTGTTTAATAATGTTGTAAGATAACGTATATGGTAATGGTGGGTAGTTCATTAAAATCAAAGTTAGGAAAACACATACTGCTATTTGCAGATGTACACAGGAGGCACAGTGACATCCATGCCCCACTCTCCTAGAAGCTACAAGCCCACTTTTTAAAAATATCCTGATTCGCCCCAGACTGCAACCAGTGTTGAACATGGAACACAACACTTATTGGCAAACTATTAAATAGCTTAAATAGAAATTTAGGTGATATTCTATTGGTAAGGCTACAGTAATTCGATTATAAATATTTTTCTTAAAAAATGGAATACCATTTCATTAGAAGGAATCAAAACATTTTATACTATTGAATAAAAAGATAAATTTCTTTGATATACAAAAAAAAAATCACAATTATGGAATTTATTAATAAATTACAATTGTCTATTTTTGAGCACCAGGATCTTTGGGTTAATTAATTTGTTCATCTGATTTTTTGTTGCTTGGTAAACATTTACAGTGTCTAATTGGCTGACTTATATATAACTTTGAAAGGTGATCGGTCAACAATATGAATTCATTTATAATCTGATAGGTTTATTTTTTGACTGCTCAGATATGATTCATTTACAACATTAGACAGTCTAATGTGATTAACTATAGCTTAATTCAACTATAATTTCATTGTATCTGTTCTTTGCCCTGATTGGCTGCTCACTGTAATAAATATAATACTAAAAGAAATCAAATAAAAAATGAAAGACGATTTCTGGGAATTTAAAGTTGAGGCAATATTAATATCCAGTGAATACGTATTATCAAGGTTGATCAACAAATAAATGATTTTAAATGTATATACTGAATGCAACTGGTTGGAGGTGCCCCATTTTTAGTATCATGGTCCTTAGTTCAAATCCTGCCAAAACAGACTAAACAAATATTTTTAAATCATAAAGCTTCTCCCAGACATATCTGGTTTAAAACGTGTCTTTTTGTTGCAAGTCGAAGTTTGATCAAATATATTTGAATCTGTTTCATAGCAGTTCAGTGTCTTACAAAGGATAAATACAAAACAATTTTTTTTAAAAGATAAATAAATCTGACCAATCATAAGGTGGATTGAGGATCACGTGATTGTAGTTAATAAACACATTTAAAGGTGATTTTTAAAATCTATGAAAAAATTTATCAATTGCGATACATAGGGTGTGGTATGACCCCTTTTATTGATATCCCCACCTAGTTAACATACACCCTTAACCCATAAAGTACTACAGTGTTACGTCACAATACCACATGATACTACTCCATTGCAATCGTTGCAAAATGAGTTCAACCGGACGCCATCTTCTCCACTGACAAAAACTATTGATTCCAATTTCTAACGTAATTATTAAGATGTTGTATATTACTTTTTCTTTGTAAATTTAAATTGATCATTAAATGTGTGTTTGATAACTAATATAATGCGAGCTTTTGTGTTTTTATTACATTTTGATTTTGAATTTAAAAATGCCTATTCCAGAAAGCCTATGAAGTCACTCAGGCGTATTGAACGGTAACCAACGTCTGATGACCATAGAGGGCGCCAACTGGCGTCGTGGCGACACGACTGTGGTAATCTATTGGGACAGATATACTGTAACTAGAGAATATTTCTCTCCATGTGAATTTAAGTACTGTAGCAGTTTCTAACGTTTTATCTTTAAATACAGTTCAAAAATTCAAGTTTTTATATGTAATTAAGGCTATGCACCACATCCCAACCAATCCACTACTGAGATCTCAGCATGTTTAAATTCTGAATATGCGGGCAGAGAAGATAATAATTAATATACAGGCACAGAATTAAACCTTGTAGGAAAATAACAAAACATAATGGTTAACAAAAATATTTGTCGAATACCAACGTTGTATCTTTTTTCTATAAATTTTTTTTAATTTATTTATTGCATTCTAAAAACCAATTTAGAAAAGGAAGAATTCTGAAAATTGGCTTAAGTACTGGTACATGTAGAATGAAGACCATCTGAAGAGTTGATTGACAGTAGTAGGCTCCGCCTCTCAAATGTCTAAATCATCATCCGGATCCTCATCATCAAAGTCGTCAGCATCGTCAGGTTCGTAGTAAATCTTTCCTCCTGGATTCAACTCATCTGCTTTTCTGCAATTAGAAAAGTGATTATTGATTATAGGTTATTTGTTAGCAATACAGGTCTATAAGAGGATTACCCAAAACCGACTGTTCTATTATATTTGAGGGGTGTTTTTAAAATAAAATAATGGGTGCTGATTAAATAGATATTTTAACATGAACAAAGTAAAATAAACCATATTCAATAATGGTTGATAGCTAATGTATATATTTTCATAGCACCAAATACAATATTATACAATTGTAAAAATAAAGTAACTGTTCATTTTACTACACACAAGTTTATCTTACCGTTTAGCACTAAGTGTGTACGGGAGAACCACTTCGCTTCTCGCTTGTCTCTCAGAATCTCGCAATGTCAAATTGAAAGTTAAATTTGCTGTAGGATCTCCCTATAAATGAGTTATAAATTAATTAGTAAAGTAAAAATAGCGCATTACTTTATGATAAAACAGAAAATATGATATGATATCTACAACTACATGTTGGGGGTACTTTTTTAAAATCAAGATTTGGCAAGTCATGATCAAGGATTGGCTGAGCATTGGGGCGCTTCTCAAGAGTGTAGTGAAACGCTTCCACAACTAGAGCTCCATCTTTATTTTTTTGTTCATTTAGGAAAGTGCAAGAGATTTCAATAATGAAATGAGTGAGCATTGACAATCAATGTTGATAACCTTATTTTTTAAAACATAATATTAGAGGGTGACCTTTCAAGCTCATCCTAGAAGGTTGGCTCATATTCAGAAGCCCTCTTAAATAAATTAAATAATTTGATGCTTTATCAGTGAAGTCTCATTTTGAGCCTTAGTGAGTATAGAGATGATTTTTAATCTTGGTTCAAATCCTTGTGCTATCACAGGATTTGAACCCAGGACCCTGGGATTGGAAGGCAAGCACCTTAGCCACCAAGCTACATCCCCACTGCGATAAAATAAAAATAAAGTTAAAAACGTACTTGTTTAGGTGTTTCCATTGGAATAGTAGTTAGTCTCTGTTCCTCTGGGAATGTAATGAGTCTGTAGTCACCATCCACACTATAGCCCTCTTTCTGAAAAACACAAATTAATACAGTAAATAAAACAATGAATACGAGTCAAATGGTAATTCCAGGGATGTTCTCAAATCACTGTGAAAATTGCTAAAAACTACGATTTCATCTCATAGTGGTTGAGGTTGAAATCGGCGCTGGTTCAAACAGCACGTTCATCTATAATTCTGGAGGTGGAACAAGTCTTCTAGGATAAGGACTACAGTATATACACCATAGGCCCAGTGTACACAATTGACTCATGTGCATTTTAAAGAACCCAGTACATATTTTTAGACGAGTAGGGGGTTACTGGTCCATACAGCCTGTTACCCTACGGTTATGGACCGTTAGGTCCTTTGTAGGATGTACCTACGTAAGCGTATGGTGAGCAAAAGAAGTAAGATTTCAATAACTATACCAACAGCATCAATATGGTAATAATAGGTTTATGTCTCTCTTTTGAAGAATGATAGTTAGGCGGGGGCTGACCTATGTGTTTGAAGACAAGGGTGAATCCGGGTATATGAGGCACGTTCTCAAATTACTATGAAAATTGCCAAACACTACATGATTTCACAGAGGCTGAGGTCACAATCATTCATTCTCACTGCGTCTTCACTGTCTTATTCAAACAATGAATTGCAAGTTGAATGGCTGAGCGATTACAGGGGCGGCCACAATGTACACACATAACATCATTGCTGGTTTGAGCGGCACACTCGCCTATGGATCTGATAGTCAAACAAATCTTCTCGGATAATTACTATAAACTGTAGGTCCAGTGTACACAATTTGGCTCCCAGTGCATCTTCTGAGACGAGTAGGGGGTTAACCCAGTGTACTGGTTCTAACAGCCCCTACTGTGAGATAGCTGGTACCGATTTACCTGGTAGTTCAGACACGAAGAGGCTCTTAAGGGAGAAGCAAGTTACTGTAGCCCACTAATCCACACCTCAAGTGCTTTAGAGTCTTCGGTATAAAGCGCTATATAAATCCACCAACATTACACATGAAAATTACAGTATCTCTCACCTTTTTGAACACTTTGCCTGTTTTTCGTTTATGTACAATACTACAGATGCCAAGAGGCGCTTCGCTTAAAGGAGCTAAAGACATGTAGGAGGACAGGGTGAGCACGGTTGATGCTAGGTGGTTTATTGCACGGAGCGCATTCTCGTCGTGAACATCTTTGTGAAGAAGACACACAACTAGACAAACTTCAAATCCTATTACAAAAAAAACAAAAAAAACAAAAAAAAATGTTTATAAATTTATTTTATTAACAATAATTCTAGATCTGCTACTACTAATTATACTCACTGTTTAAAATAGTATCATTGATTGCATTTGGCTTAATAAACTGTCGTACACTATGCAATGTCTTCCGCTCTCTTGGGAGTATTTTATAATGTATTAAATTAATGAATGTGTATGAGCTTAATGAATATTTATCAGAAGTTTTCTTCCTCTTTCACACTTACCTAAATCATTGGATCTGATGAGTTGGTCTAGTCCATTACACACGTACGTGATTGACTTACGAAGTAGCACAGGGCTTAACGAGTCAACAACAACACAGACCCTCTTGCTGTCGTCCCGGTTACACTTCTGCACATTTGTCATGAAAACATCTTCAGAGCTGCTTATATCTAAACTATTATGTCTACCATTTGAGCTGTAAAGTCAGATGAATAAATTAAAATTGATTCATTGATAGGTCCACAACTATTATGTGATATCATTGTTTAAGTATTGACCTCTGACATAGCCATGCTTATTTAAAACTACAAGAGGGCTTATTGGTGATGTCATATATTACCTGTTTAAGTTCCACTGTAGTGGGTTAGTCCATCCATCATGACACTGTAGTTTACCTTTAATTTTTGTGTCGATGGTATTGATGAATACATCAGGTGGTGTGTCAAAGTTGAATATGTGCACCTGGTCCAACCTGCAGAAGATTTGGCATAAATTCTTAAAAAAATATTTTTAAATATTTGGTAAAAAAATGATGAGGAATGGGTTCATTAACATGTAGATATGAATAGAAACTCATGCACTTGATTAGGGATTCATGCACTTGGGCAACAAGCATGCTACTGGCAAAGTCAAATTATGTTGATTAATGGAATGGAAAAAAGCATGCAGACATAACAAAATACAGACTAATAATGTAGCAGAGGAGTAAATGACACCTTCTTAACATGGTTAGGCAACCCCTGGACATTTTAGAGGGAAGACCTGCTGGGCAGGGCTACGCATGTATTATTGGGAGAAGGAAGATCAATCTGCTTAATATGAGTGCAGATTCAATTCAATTTTCTTACCTTAGCCCCAACCATAATGGGGCTGAGGTGGTCTAGACTCATCTGTGAAAGTCCCACTAGCCCCCTCTATTTCCTGGATCCACTACTGTCATGGAGCAATTAATAAATCCATGGTAGAATCTACCATCCCCCAAAATACCAAAATAAGGAAACCCACTACAAGTCATGATAGACACCCATAAAAAAAACACCCCACCACCCACATGTCCCAGGGAAACCCACTTAGAAGCAAATTCAGATTCACTTGTTTTTAACACAATTGCAAGTTATGTTATGTGAGAGTGACATAAAGCAGAGATAGAGATAGGCATTTACCTGTAGGCTAGTTCGGTTGTGATACAGCGAAGAAGAGCCCGGCCACTGTGTGCCACTGAATCTACACACACGAAGAGAAGGAGAATAACATGGTGCAAAGATAGAAAAGAAAGTCACATGACACAGAATGAGCCAATGAATTAGCATACTTGTTCACAAAATATTACATATTCATGTTATATGTTAATTACAAAGCCAATAGTGATTGAGGAAATTAATGGTAGGCATGGGAGTTGACAATTCAATAAAATGTGAAAAAAAGAGACAGACAACAATACTTTGTGTATACTTATTTATAAAATCACAAGCTCCCACATCCTGTTGCTTGCCAAAAATTACATTGAGTGGCCATTAAAAATAGAGTGTATTGAAGCATTGCTCCATTGTATTAATAAACTGGGCTGAGCCTCGAAAGAGAAATGGTTTCACAATGAAGAAACATCTCACAACGAGGTCAGCTAGGCCAGTGAAAGGAACCCTTGAAGCAGAATGAAATCCACAACAAAACGGTTAGTCAAGGTGACAAACAACTCATAACACATTCCCAGGCATCACACAGCCACCAGGATTAACAGATTGTATTTTAGAGACTTGCGTTTGTTACACTAACATTCATGAACCTGGGTCTGATAATTCCTCCATGGTCTGACTGTTTATTCTACTGTATTCTAGCACCCATACCAAGAAGAGCTTTGTTAATACATCAGCATATTAGTCTCTTACTTAGATCACTTGCCTAAGCCAAATCTAAAATGGAATTGAAAAATTGTTCAACTTACCTGTAGATAAAATTTAACTTACAGGTCATTAATTAATGGAAAACACAACAATTTGGCATGTATAGTAAAATAAGATTGACTTAGAAATTATTCGAGTTAGGCGAAGTTGACTCAGGCAAGTTCAACTGTATTAAATCCAGCGGCAGGTAAAAGGAGCTCTGCCAGCCCAGGGCCCACCTAAATTTGTCAAAATGTTTTGGATAAAAGGAGATATAGAAACTTATATTCAAATTTAAAGTCTTTGAGTGTCATTTCCAGCCGTCTAGTGGTGCCATAATCATCAATTTTCTTACCTCAGACCCAACCATGGTGGGGCTGAGGTAGTATAGCTCCTACATCTGTGAATGTTCCTCCCTGCCCGCTCGCCCCTCTATTTCAAATTCCTGGATCCGCCACTGATATCATATTATTAATGTCATCATTAAAAACATTTAGAATGCACTGACAAACAATTAAAAAAAACTAGCACATCTAAAATCCAACAGTGTAATTGGCAACTGGGACCCAAAAAGGGCCCTGAGACCCCTAGTCTCAGAAAGCCACATTCCCACAGCCCCACTCTTATGCCACTGTTATTACCATTTAATTTCAATTAAAATTAGAATGAACAACATTCATTAGAACATGTTTTATTTGCTAAGAGATTTATATACCATTCCTATACTTTGCCTACTGCTGCTGACTTTTACCATTAAATCAATTTGGTTGGCTGGCATTAAGTATACAAGTTATAAAGATGTTGTTCTTACTGTAGAAAATACTTAGTTTAAATCAGCAAGAAAAACTGAGAGTAACTTTACATGAGTTTTTGGGACCGAGTTGACATGGGGCAAAGTTGACATGGAGCCAAGTTGACATGGAGCCAAGTTGACTTGGGGTCAAGTTGATTTGGGGCTGTGTTGACTTGGGGCCAAGTTTACTGAGGCATAGTAAACTTGGGGCCAAGATAGTTCTGTATGATAATCTACTAATTTGTTTATGGGCTGCATAGGATAGGCACATTCATGCAGTAGTAGTAGTAGAAGACCTACTGACAAAAAAGATTACCATCCCTGGTAGTTATTTTAGTTGTACGCGTACAGTAGGTAGTATATACATACAAATTGTACCAGCATCGTTTTCATAATAGTTTATCATATCTCTAATAATTATTTTAACACATTTTTATGCTAACTGGTACTGGTACTTGTAGCCATTGACATTATGTTGGCGTTAAAACACTGCATTGTGATGAGGGAACGTAAATAAATAATATTGTTTCATCAGTGTATCTCTGTCACATAAATTTATCCACCATCTATCTTTTCACACTTTGAAATTGAATTTAATATCTTATGGTGATTAGAAAGTATAAATAATCTATCTAGGTAGGCTGGGCATTGCTTAATATTAATAGCCTAGGCCTAGTCTCCTCAGGGTAGCAGGTTAAAACGGAAATAAACCCAAACAGCAATGATTAGTACTACAACGGCAACAGATCAAAACGGCAATGACAAGTAGCAATAATAAGCATACTGTAGACTAAAACGGCAAGGGAGCAAAATCAATGCCAAGACCAAGTGCTGCCGGGTGTGGGCTGCAGTTTATAATTTTCAGAATCATCCTGAAATTGGCGATCGTCTGTTGGCAAATCAAATATATTGCCATGGGCTCTTTTTCCTGCTTTTAATGTTTTATCGCGGATTTTTTTTTTCCCACATTATTATTTAACTCATTAACTGTGTTTCATCCAATCCTTTTATTATTGAATTTGTATGTTGTTATTGTTATTAATAGGCCTATTATTATTTTTATTATTATATATTAATGTTTTTTTTGCATTTTTTTACTTCTATGAAATAAATTGTTTTAGTGTCACTTTGTCTGTATTTTAAAGTTTTATTTATTTATTTGGTTTATTGCTGTTTTGGTTTAGGGCACATAGAAAAAATTATTAGATTATCACTTTTTTTTTTGATTGATGAGGACGAGCTGTTTTTTTTTGTTTTTTTTTAATCAACTGGTACAATATATTATTTCGCTTTTATTTTTATCGATGAGGGAGGGACTGTTTATATTTGCCCTGTACCTGGGCCTGTAATAGTAAATATTGTAAATATTGTATAAAAACTAGTTTAATTTTATAGTTTTTTTTTAAGAAAATGTATTTGAAGTCACAAAATTGCATTGTTATTTTATGCTGTTGAAATAATTGATGCGGCAAAAAAAAAATTTTTTTATTCCCGCATCAATATTTCCCTGAATTTTTGATGTGGGAGTGATAATCTAATAAATTTTTCTATTTGCCCTTATTGCCATTCTGGTAAAAAAGTGTTGCTGTTTTGGTTTATTGCTGTTTTGTTGGTCATTTTCGTTTTGACTAGCCTAAACTAGAAAACCTCCTCAGACTCCAGACCAGGGAGTTTTGCACAGCAGAAACACTCTGTCTTAATGTAATGAAGAAAGGAAATAACCACCTCTTCATTCATTGGGATTCTACAACAATAACAATGAACATTCAACAACCACTATCAGTCTACCTAGCCTTGCCTACACTACACTATTATGAAAATGAAATGAACTATCACTTCTCAATCAAAGACTGCTTAGCTGCTAGGGGTAGTCCAGGAATAGTAAAGCGGCCTAACTACCTAGGACTAGCCTATGTGGTAATTAGAGTCTAGACTGCTATCTAGTGGCCAAGGTCTAGGCTAGCGATATTGAGGCTAGTTAGCTGGCTTTCGTCAAGCTCATCACACAGGCTAGGCTAGCTAGATATTTTACAAGCAAGGCCTCGCTGACGGCTGACTTGTTTTGGTAATCAAAAAAGAGAGGCTTACCTTCTAAAACGATCAATTGTGAACCTTCCCTGCCATCGATAAGTTGCCCTAAAAGTGTAGCCATTTAACTATTAATTAATATATATAATATAATATTAATATCACAAGTTTAATTTTTTGTTTATTCTCGGAAAAACATTTCTTTGTTTCCTCTTCGTCGACTTCAACGTAGCGCGTATCGCAATGACCTGAATAATTTACCGCACGAATAATGGAATCTTCTTTGATGTTGATTTCATAGAAAAAACGATGAGTCGTCAGGTCATGCTTCACGTGTAAACATGACCTCAATACAAAATTCTTACTTTTTGCATGCTATATTTAAATATAATTAAATATTTAATTAATTAAGGTTAGTATTATTCCAAATAATAGATTATAAAATATATTTTTGTTATACAATATAACAAAATAAATTTATTTGGTTGTATTGATAATGGTTTAACTAACAATCATATAAGCGCATGCGTAGTGTTGTCAATAACAACTATAATATAATCCAACTAAGATGGGCAATTTGCTGTTAATACTCCGTTTTAACTACTAAATTTGAAATCTAATCTTACGAATGAATACTATTTTATTTGTAGAAAAGGCGAGGAGGTTGTACAGGGCCAAAAAATGTAAGTAAGTGTGTTTGTTCACACCGATGCAAGCAAGTGGGACGACTGCCCTGCTGGCTGGGTTGGTGTAGCAAGAGATTGTCATCATCATCAATCTTTTCTTGAGGATGATGTCATAAAATATTAATTAATCAACTGAGTTCGCCTCTCCCAGCAAGGTGATATTTTGCTGATCATCAATGGCTTTTTTTATTTGTAATTTGCTTTAAGGTTGTGTTCCCGCTTGATAAGTATAATATATGCTGGGTGGTGGGAGGAAGCAGGTCAACTCGGCCACAAGTCAACTCGGCACAAGTCAACTCGGACACAAAAAGTTCGGCTGCAGTCAACTCGGCCACAGGTCAACTCGGCCACAAGTTATTTATAATTAATATGAAATGTAAATATTACAGTTTCTGCATCCCTTTTCTTCAATATGATTAAAATCGTTGTATACATTTCTTCACACTGTACTCTTGTTCAACAGAGAAAACCCTACAATCTGACAATTGTAACATTAACAATTTAAGCAATCTTAATAATTAAGAAAAACACATATATTAATGTTTAATTTTGTTCACTTTAAAACACTGACATAAAACATGAGTACATACTGTAGACCTAATCATAAAAAATTGAAATAGAAAAACCACATTATGATTTTTTTAAATGTTAAAAATTTATTTGGAATCCGACTAAAATCAAATGAATGCACGATGGCGTGCATTTCGATACTATTTTCTTCAGAACCACACCCAAGAATTAGGCCTACGTTAAAATTAGGTGGGGTGCAGCATCTAGTATCAATTATCCACAATAGGAACAATTGGTATTGTTGAGTGACAGACTTCAGTCCTTCATATTTTTTCGACCATTGGGGGCTATGTTTGAAACCCGTCAGTGACAAGGAAGCATCCAATGATGGTGAATCACCAGTGACATTTACTTTAATAATACTAATTAGTCATAATAACGATAATAAAAGGATAAAAACAACAATATTAACAGTAATATTTATTTTAACAATACTAATAGTAATAATATGGTAATAATAATAATATTTAAATATCTATTTTAATAATACTAATTAGTGATAATAACATTGAAGGTGATAATAGCAATAATAAAAGCAATAATAAATTAAAGATAACGTTTATTTTTATAATAATAGCTGTAATACTAATTAGTAATAGTAATAATAATGATACTTATAATAGGCCTACTTAGTAATAATAGGGGAATAATATCGATAATAAAAAAAGGTGACAACAACAACAATAATAATAATATGAGAAAAATACCAATAAAACACCAATAATAATATTTTTAAAATTACTATTAAAATAATAATACTAAGACTAATATATAATAATAATATGAATTTAATAGTAACAACAATGACACCAATAATAACAGCAATAATAATTATTGTGGCCGAGTTGACTTGTGTAAAATAATATGCTTAGTAATATAAAAACATGAGTCCAAAAATGTAAAAAGTGAAAAGGCCAAAAAGATAAAGATTACATTTATAATAATTGTATACACAGATTTCTACAAATGATTAAACAAATTTCTAAAATACATAAACAGTTTTGATTTGATAAAATACAGGACATGTTTAAATTAACACCATGTATTATTTGTTTTCTCCACTTTCTCTTACAGTACACACAACACTATGGCAACATAAATCCAGATTTCTATGATGAAGCACTAACAAACAAGGGCCACACAATGGCAAAGAGGGCGCAGCCGCAGACTCAGAACCGAGTAAATCCTTGTGGTAGAAAGGTTCCATCAAAGTACAGACGCAGTGATTCCCATGATGCAACTGATGGTAGAGGGCTCATTTCGAAAAGAGGAATCACTGGTGCTGAGAGTAAATCCAATGGCCAGGACAGTACATTGTTTATGATTGAAAACTCCATCCATCAAGAAGAAAGTATGTCACGGCCTGGGTCTGCATTTTCTGTGTACCGCCCATTACCAGAAATTGGTCAGAAGTGGAGCAAGACATCTTCAGATGTACTTGATAATGTCATCCAACATGTAAGCAGTTTGCAAATTCAAAAGGACCACAGTCCACATGTTAAGAAGAAAAAACAGACGGAAGAACCAACATCATTAGAATATGACAACTATAATGTTGAAAATAATGTTTTTCAGGATTTTAACATAACCAAACCAAACAGTCCTAATGCCAAAATAAAGAAACATGCATCATCATCAACTATTAGGAATCTTGAGCAAAATGAAAGGCATACTGGAATGCAACCAAGGAAAATCACAAGAAGAGAAATGCGGAGTATACAACTGCAACGACGACGGAGCTCCCAGATGAATTTAGTGCCTCAAGAACCTTCGGAAGGAGTAGAGCGGTTATTAATTGCTCTAAGACTTCCAGGTGGAGAGAGGATCCAGCGTTTTTTCTCACCTAACAATGCAATAAAAGATGTGGTGGCTTTTGCAGAAAGCCAGGTTAAAGAATCATTAGCACACTGTGATGTCTTTGAGAGTAGTGTTCCAAAGAAGAAACTACTGAACCTAAAGTCAAGTATCAGAGATTGTGGCATTCAAGATCGCACGTTGCTTTTACTTGAAGAACAAGATGAAGAAGAAAATGATGACACTGGATGATAATTTCGGTTCGTTTGTTGTTTGTTGAAGGTCAATCTTGGAAAGACCTCATCTGCAATGAATTTCTCTGCCAGAAAGTAACAAAAGCTTTGTCATCACCGAAGGATATATTTGGCGAGGACCAGCCAAACCAGTCACTCCTCGCAAAAAGTGTTCTGAGGATAATGGCCAAAATATGTTGGAATGTCAAAATTTTTTAATCCTATTTTATTGCGTTAAACTAACTGCTATGTTGATATTTTCCCCATGTTTTATGTTAAAACAAAATTTTTTTAACAATTTGGTGATTGTCTCGGCCTGAGTAATCTCTGAAATCATAAAAAAAACCTGAAGGCTGATTTCTCGAATACTGCTCTTTGAACAGCTCAGTGTATCTTTAAACTCCTGTAACTTCATAATGAATTTTTGGATTAAATGAATCTTTTACAGTTTTACTTTCATTGTAATGTTTAACTTTGTACTAGTAAATAAAAATTGATAGGACACTTTCGACCCCTGGTAAACTAAAGCATTTGTAGATGATATGACTGTGTAGCTGGATGGGGTTGACTATAACTATACTGTTTTTTGATTATGAAGTTTTATAAACTTTTAACAATAAATTCAATACACGAACTACAGTAATTGCTTACATTTTATGTTTAAGTACATGTACAGGTTATTTAATTAGCTTTCAATTCAAAATAAATTTTAAAAAAATTTGTTCACCAATTACCAGATAAAAACATAATTATCTTGTATTCTGTGCACCGACCCTAAAATTCATTTCAAAAGAAACAGATTTTTTTTTATATAGTAAAAGTAAGTAAGTCACTTAAAACTGAGTTGTTTCAATTTGTGTTCTATTAGAAGTTGACAACCCAATCACAATTGACAGTTGTCATTGAAAAAACTAAGGGAAATATTTAGTGTTATAACATCCAAAGCAAATATGTTAACAACTTTGCTCTATAATTAGAATAATAAAATACAATTTTGGGACCACAGAAAAGTGGTCTTCAATTGGAGGTGGTCTATAATTGTAGGGTTTTTAATTAGAGGGAGACCTGTATAATTTGAATTGAAGGTTGTTCAGAAATTTGGCAAAAATGTTACTGACAAAATGGAAAGAAAAAATAGAAATAAGCTTTCCAATGGTACGTCTTGTGAACAACTGCTGAATAAAAGGATATTTATGGACTTATTCGGAATGGAGCAGAAAGATAAAAAATGAGGGCATTAAAGCCGGTTTTACACTAAGCAAATTTATCCATGCGAATCAAAAGCGTTGGTTCATGCACAGTCACATTTTTATCAGAGTTTTTCGCTTCAGCGAAATCAGTAGTTCGAACTGTTCTATTTTTTGCGTAAAAAATGGCAATGTGCGATTTGCGCGAATAAATTTGCCTAGTGTAAAACCGGCTTAACATCATTATTATAATGTGATGCAATGTAACTTTCAACATTCTTCTTTTGTTATGTGGCTGCTAAGCGTTACCAGCGAGGGCGGTAAAGCACACGTCTTTTCGTAAGTAGAACCTATTGATCATTTTACTGACTGTTTTCATGTTCCTGTTTAGTTGAATTCCATTTGTAAGGATCAATAAAGTAAGTTTACCTCAACTTGGGAATCGACTGAGGTAAAGGTGCTTGTGTGTAGCAGTATGTAGGTGTGTCTGAGTGTGTGTGTGTGTGTTTTGTTGATGCAATAAGTATATATTGTTGATAAATGTTTAGATGTGTGAACTTGGTTTTGATTTTAAATCTTACGTATAAATAAAAACATAATAAAATTGTATTTATGCTATATCAAAAAATGTTAGTACTGTACTTTTTTTCTTTTTTCTTAGTCCAAATAAAATAAAAATATAGAAAATATAAACATAGAACTCTGTTTCTATTGTAGTGGCGGTATTTATTCAAGAAACTGTCTTAAAAATATTACATGTTTATTCTTATTTAGTTTAGACCTCTTTCAGGAATGTGAGATGAAATTTAACCGTGTAATACACGTAGCTCAATTAATGTATCATTTATCACGATGTGATTGTACAAGTGGTGGTAGCAAGTTCGGCACGATTCCTCTTCCAATGTTGCACGGAGTGTGTCCAAAACGTGTCATCACACGTGATTTATCCTGTAGTGTCGGGAAGACCACAAGGGGATCTTGGTAACTTGACCGAGACGTTGATGTTAAAGTGTAGTGAATGTCCGGTGGCTTACCGTAGTTGCTAATGTATGGTCCGTGGTGTCCAGAAGTCCAGTTCGTTACCTGTGTGTGGCGGATCATATCTGGCAACCGCTTCTGAATTGAATTGAAATCCGGTTTCCAAATCCCAAATGTGAGATTATCCTTGTTGTACGGTGATTGGTATTTTAGCCCCACTGAATGAGGATTTTGACGGCGAGTGGGGGACATCACTCGTGGGAATATTCTCGGACCAGTTTCAGATAAATCAAAGTCTGTAAAAGTCGTTGTTCGTGGACGTTTGTATTTCCTAGTAAACACGTTCGCCATGACGAATAATCAATCAACTACTTTACTCGTCCAGTACACCAATGCTATTCTTCCCTAAAATCATGAAAGTTTTTAACTGATTTTGTAGAGGGAACGGTGACTTGCTATCATGCTGTTGATAGGAGGTGGATATCGTAGCTACTGACAACAAAGCGATGAGCTTGCGCCATGGCTTGTGCGGATTGTAAACGCCATGGTAAATTGGGCGCGCGCCCGCGTTTTCTTAATGCGCGCTAGAGCATGGTAGCGCGAACGACTGCGCGCTGCATGCTGCTCTGGGATATACGCACGAGTCATTAGAAACGCATGTTGTCACCGCTGCATAACAACATTAAAAAAAAGAAAGATCACACAAGCAGCAGCCAATTCCACTTTTAGCATCAGGCTATTGTGTTCTGTTTTTAACGTACTGTAAAACTTTTGTCGATCTCAGAATGGTAGATAACGAATTGGCTTCTCGTTTACAGAAACGATTAGATGTTGAAGCGGGAAAAGAGACAGAGCAAATTAAACTCGATTACAAGGATCCTCACGAGGAATTTGCTCACCCTTACCCAGAATTTAGCGAATTTTCGCGCGAGCAATGCAAAATGTTCGAAGATATGTTTGCACAGTAAGTATGTCCACATGCACACTGAAGCATGGCTGCATAATTCACTCCCCCCCCCCCACTCTTCTCTATTTCTGGGCGGATTTAGAATTAAAATGTTTCAAACGACCGGGAGGCATATTTTCAAAAAAGATAAGCGAGTAGCGCTTATTTCAATACATAAATGTTATGCATTGAAATTTTAACATTTAGTGGCAAAACTAAAATATACAGTAGTGGCAAAAACTAATATAAATCTGACCCTTTCACTTGGTTGTGAGCACTTTAGCGCTATGTCAAGTGAAATTGATGGTATAATTATTTTCAGATACAATGCCAACCATGACGATTACATTTGCTACAATGAGTTGAAAACAATGATGGAATTACGTGGCGAGCCTTTGACTCATTTAGAACTGAAGAAGTTGATAGCGGCCGTTGACGAAGATGGTGATGGAAAACTTTGTTTCAGAGAAGTAAGATGTCTGAGAAATAAGACATTTAACCAAGAGAGGAGCAAAAATGCAATGTATTTTGCATTGAAGACGCAATTCTTTCTAAATGTGCAATTTACTCTGCCGAGTACCGGGTCGTATTTTCTTTTTGCCAATACCACGGGACCTCTTTTCCATAGAATTTATAAATTCCAAGCGGCACCTTGAGCCAAGAACAGATATGATATTACAGTAATTACCGTATGCTATACCTCATACATATACGGGGTGAAAACTCGTGGGCAGTCACTTTGTATCAAATGAAAGTTTGAGTAAATGAGGTAGCCATTACTCAACGGCCAATCAACGATTAGTCATGCGCAGTGCTATTTTTCCGCTTGAGACACAATTCCGCGTGTTATATGCGGAATCTTTCTACTTGATAGGCGCTTAGTGGTTGTTCACATTAACATGCATGAAAATGTTGATTTAAAATAAAATGCAATATTTAAAATAATAATAGATTTTCATGACTAATTCAAATCCAAACATGGATTTAGTATAGGCCTACATTTTTATGTATCCAAGTACAGTATTTTTATTTACTTCATAAAAAATGGAGAATTGTGGAATGCAAAATCAACATTTTTATGTACACTTTCAGAGGGGAGGAGGCGGTACCAAAAGAGAGTACTGTTTGTACACTTTTGAAAATGTTGATAATTGTGAAAAATGACCTGATTTGAAAATTTTAGGGAATAAACTTAAGAAAATGATGCTATATTAGTGTATTTGCCAATCAAGTTACGTAATAGACGATGAGCTGACGAGACGTGTTCAGAAACGCTCGCAAAGGCACCCCCCCCCCCATTCCAAAAGGTCAACTTTTTTTCACAAAATTGTCCCTAAATATTGCTAAATGCTATAGTCTTGGGCGTCGATCGGTGGGGGACACGTCCCCCCACTTTTCGAAGTCGGGGGTCTTCATATCAATTTCCCCCCCCCCCCCCCCCCCTAACCAATCTTCTTTTATAGTTAAAAAACCACTTTTCAAAGCGAGTGGAAGATCAACAATTACGAATGACTGTCATGAATTTTGTCTATTCACTTGTGCTCTGTTCCATGTTCGGTGCATATTTCCGGACCAATACCGAGTAAAAACGCAATTGTTTTGTAAATTTCATAACCATCTCAGTAACCACTCCATCGATTTTATGGATGCAACGGTTATCAGAGGCTAAATTTATTATGAAAGCAATGTACTGTATACGTTGTTAAAATTGGAAGCGTGTAAACCTATAGGCCAACATTTTTACGAGCTCAAAAGTGCACAATTTTTACTATTAAACGATTTATTCCTTTTGTATATTATTAAGGCCCGTGTGTTCAATATTATCCGCATACATGGATTTCTGTTTTTTTTTTCTAATTTAAAAAAAATCATAGTTAATAAATTGAATTTTATATAGCCGTTATTAAACAATAATTATACAGCCTTTGACACGGATAGGTCTGTCTATTTCGACTTATTTAAGCAGTGATACCACAAGTTTACGAACTCGTCTGTAACTTGACGCAATCTCGCCATCACATCACGCAGGGACGGATCCAACGAGGGGCCACGGCCGTCAATTCCGCCGATAAATAAAAGAGAGGGAGAAAAAAAAATTGAGAAGAGTAAAAGGGATGAAAGAGGAAAAAGGGGGAAGTGTACCTATAAGCTCCAGTGTTGGTCACAGTGGGCGAAATGCATAGTTACCAACCGTCTCGCATTCGTGCAGGACGATCCTGCATTTTAAAGTAATTTTGGATGAAACACGCATTTTGCAGAAACACATGCGTGATCATAATTTGTCACGCATTTGGCATAAGTCCATGCGCGATAACGAATTATCACGAATTCAGTGGAAAATGTATTTAAAATTAGAGGAAACTGGTTTTATTAAAAATATAAAAACTATCATGCAGTAACTTGAGTCTCGGAGAGTACAGTAATTACGTGAATACTTATTTCACTGACGCGTTACTAAAAATTGATCTGTAATGAAATGTTTGTGTAGGTCGACATAGTTAAGTTCGGGTCCCAGTTCGGGTGCTCAAGTTAAACTCAAATTGTACCAGTTTTAAAAATATTTTTGTTGTAAGCCTACCCGGTATAATTGTCAACAAACGTTCCCTGAAATCGTTTAATACAGCTTAAAAATGCCCCCCCCCCCCCAGTCAAATGGTGTAGTCACTCACGCATTTCAAATCTCTCAGGTTGGTAACTATGGAAATGAGAGCTCGATTATTTTACTACTCACCTTTTGAATTTACTATTGATTGACGGCGAACACAACGTTACGCTATATCCCCGACGCCGATTTTTTTCCTACGATTTCATAAAACCAGGATGTAAAAAAGGCCAAAAGATGGAGACCTAATACGGGTTTTTTTTTTTTTGCCGCATTACCGGAATGTAGTATACCCAGCTAGAACAGCTATAGGCCATGCTCAGTGACGTAACGCGTATTAGTCATTTGGGATACCTGTGAGGGAAGGGGTGTCTAATAATTTGGTCGATGAGACTGTTTTAAATAAGCATTTTTACCATCTGAGAGTGCCATTTCCGAGAGTTTAGAGAGGCTGCATATTCTTAAAATTTGCTCACCTCAGCCCCCAACCACGGTGGGCGTGTTCGACAATATTTTCCCCACCCCATCGTCAGAAAATTTCTGGATCCACCTCTGTCATGATAATATTAAGTAAATCACTTTTTATGTTTGTGAAATAAAAATTCTAACTAATGTTGTGTGTGCTTCTTATCTCCTTCGTCCTGTTTGATCGTAAGTTAGACGGTAGGTTTTCCACTCACAATTAGTTTAGTCGCAATAACCTGCACAAAAGTGAAATTAAAAAAAGAGGAGAAAAGGAAAAACTTCTTGATTGATTTTTAAAGTACTGTACATGCAAAGATAGAATTGGAGTGACTGTTTTAAGTTTATTTTTTTTCCAGTTCATGTTGATGTGGAAGAAATGTTTAACCGGCGTTCTACCCGAAGGAACAGGATATGCTAAAATTGTCGCAACAAATAAAATAATCTTATCAAAGCCTCCTACACCAGCATCTACATCAGGTTTAAGTGGGGCAAAGGCGCTTTTTGAGACGAAGGTAATGAAGTTTGTTGTTGAAAAATTATAGGCCTAATACCTTATTTATTGTACTCTGTAATATTGGATCATTCCAGAGCGTCAAACTTAACAATTGACTAATCAGAAAAAGGCTAGGAGTACGTACTTGTCCTACAATGCGTTAACGATATCCAAGCAACAACTGCATAGTTTTTCTATCATATTATTATTGTAATGTATGCATATTAATTAATTTCTTATGGCAACTTTTGTATGAGCCATTCAAGGTTGGGTTTCTCCCAATTTTTGAGTTTTCCAAAATTTTCGGGTGGTCATAAAGTTAGAAAGAGCCTGTCGGTGCATACGGTATCTCTTGTAATTTGTACACTTTCAGATTGTCATAATCTGTTGTTTTAAACAGTTTTCATTTTTATATGCTTTCTTAATTAACCACAGCAACGATCACACGCAGACAGCGAGAACAACGCTGAAGAAATTCGTGAAGAGCAACGAAAGGCTTATGCCAAGAAACGAGCAGACAAGGCTGCTGCAGAGAAGGAAGAGGCACGGAAGGCTGCTTTTGCAGCAAGGGCTGGAGCCTTTGGAAACTAAATTATAATATCACTTAATGCGGAACATGTACATTGTTCAATATTATTCAACAAGCATTTTGTGAGAATGATATAAATAGAAGTAATTTTGGATTTAATAAGATTCAATAAAGATTTCTACATTATGCCACGAAAGTTCTGGATGAGTTTACAATTACATTAGTCGCATACACATACTACACCCACGGCACAATCTATTTCTTCCTAATTATATAAATTTAAAGCATTTAAACCATCGAATTAATACACTGTTCCCATTCACCAATAAAATTTTATTTTTATTCCCTCCGTATTTTGGCAAAACCCATTTGCTAAACAAAAATTTTTTTTTTTCAACCTCCGCAGACAATTTTTAAAAATAGGTTCACGAAACAAGCTGCAGATGTCTCGACTTAGGCAGGACCTTTTTACTGTAAATTGATTTGTTATTGACTTCACTAGGGGTCCGATGGTAGCACAAGCGGGGGATATCCCCCATTGGTCAGGCTCAATGTTGTCCAATGCCACGGCAAGGTCGTCGGATCAAAAACAAGAATTTGCCTATCCAAAAAACGTTATTGTTTGATTGCCAATCCCTAATATTGTGGTCTGAAACAACAATTTGGACCATAAATTAAAAGCCATAAAAACTCTCCCCATCAACCCTACCCAGGGTGTTTTCTTTATTGTGGGACTCCGACCGAGGCTCTAGTATGACTACCTGTCGGACATGTTCGACCCCTTGTTGGCAAATTTCTGGAGTCACCCATGTAGGGGCCAAGGCCTATTATATTTTATGTGATAAATTTTCTTTTCTTGGCCATGTCATACCCACATCTGCAATAAACTAGAATATTTGTGGCCAACAGGGACTTCACCTCTCCAACGGGAGCATAAGCCCTGCTTGCCCACCATGCCATCACCAATTACTGTACAGTGAGAATTGTACTGTATAACACTCGCATTTTGTGTGTGTACAGTACTCAAGCGAACAACATAAATATTAAACTCTGGTTATCAACTTGAGATTTATCTGGATCTAAACTTTATTAGCATGAAAAAACAAATCTTTTGAATGTTCAGATGCCAATGACCTTTTTTATAATGTCATGCAAGCCGTGAACAACTGTCCGCTGAAAAAAAAAAAAAACTCAGCACAACTAAGGGCCTTGAAGGGCCCCCTCCATTTGTCCACAATGTATATACTGTAGTCTTACAGTTAAAGACGTGTTAAAGCTTTTGATAGTTTATTGGGGGGGGGGATGACGAAAACCAGCAGACACCACAACCTGCTGTAACGGCTAGTGTGAAACATTTACACCAGGGACCCGGATATGTTCCCGCTCCGATTCTTTATTTGATTATTTGATTTAAGTTTTGATAACATCTTTTCAAAAAAAAATTTAAAACGGACTTTTATTTATAATATCCATTTACATCTGGGACCTGGAAATGCATTCTCTCCTTGGTTCGTTCAATAAATTACATTGCTAAGTAGCTTACCCGTCTACACTTATGTGACAAAAGCACTGAGGATATGGACATTGGTCAAGTCCAAAGGTATGATAATGAATTGGTCAGTATTAAGGAACCATGTTGTCAAGTTTTATCGCTTTCGCAAAACAAACCTAACTTGGTTCACGATAGAAGGATAAACGACTGGCACATAATCCAGGAAGGTTTACCGATTTAGGAAGGAATTTTCAAATGATCAAACAAGACAAAAGTTCTAACAGAATCAGTAGAGGGAGCTGTTCCCATTACTGCACAGGCAATCAAATATGTTAACATCACAAAGCATGTACCCTTTGGAAGTAGCAATATAAATGAGTACATAACTATTCTATTAATCAGTGTATCATACATATACATCATGATTATAGTGGTAAATTAAACATTGAGTAACTAATGTGATCCACTCCATGTACAAGTTGTTGATACTGTACCGCCTACTCCTTATCATTGATGAAAAAAAAATATAATTAAAATTAATTATCACATAATATAATCCGATACAATGCCACCATAATTAAAGCCATTCACATCTTTTTTTTTAGCATTTACAAAAAATAAAACACCAACAAAATAAAGAATCATTGTTCTCTGCACTAACTAGTGCTTGTATATATATATATTTGACCAAAAATCAATAAATTGTTTTTAAATGAAGAAAAAAATATCTCCTGCATCTGCATATTAAGGAGACTGTATGTACTATTTTTATCACCAGTGTCAACGATTGAATGATACCAAATAGACGACACTAGCTCCGTTATTTGTATGTTTTTGATAAACTGATTCAGCATCCTTCCACTTGGTTATTCTGGTCCCACAGACTGCACTCTCTAGACCAATGTACACATCATTAACATAATTACAAGCTTGTCATTCTGATGCTTAGTTTGCCAAATTCTTGATTGCTACAGCTTTCTCCTCATCCATAGCCTTCAGAATGGTAACCTGAAAGAGATGGATTCAGTACAAATGGTTGTCATGCACACAATTCAGTTTCAGGCGAGGCTTTTTTTTAAATACCTTGTCTCGCGACCTTATTTTCGATACGATTGATTTCTTAATTTAGCAAATAGTTTTGCCTAAAACATCTAGAGAAAAAAAAAATTATTTTAATGGTGAATGTTAACAGTGTAGAAATGGGAAGGTTAACGTAATTAGGAAGAAATTACATATCTTATTTCAAGGCAACAGCAGGCGTAATAAAAATTAAGAAAAACTTTATTTTTTTCTTAAATTAAAATTTTTCTGTGCCAGCATTTGCGTAAATTGGCCTAAAATTTGATTTTATTTTTTTAAAGATTTATATAATCAGGAGGAAATATACATATCTTATTTTTTGGAGATTTCAAGGCAGCAGCGGCGTTTGCACTAACTGGCCAAAAAAAGAAATTTTATATTAATTTGAAAACAACATTATGGGCGGTGGGTTTACTAAACAAGGTATAAAGAATGTCTTGCCTTACCTATAGGTTCAGAATCAGAGTATATTATATTTCTATGTAAATGTATTTTGTTGTTACTTAAGGTGTAAATAACATAGAACAAACATTACTGCGAATAAAGAAAGGGAGGCCATGATTTATTCGGAGGAACGTTTGTTCTGTCATTTATACATAATCAGTGCATCTGTTGGTTTAAGGTGTAAAGAACTTTTATTATAGTGATTTTTTTCACTTTTAGGTTCCTGAATGTTTTTTTTCTTGGCCAAAAAAAAAAAAAAAATAATAATACGTTGTCGGATCAAAGAGTTGCTATACTGTAGATCAGAGCTCAGATACAAGAGCTGATATAGACACAGATCAGAATTGTTAAAGATACAGATGAAAGAGATACAGGAAAGATGGCATCAAACAGTTATAGTTATATATACTAAAATGGACCATTCGACCAAGCCAATAGGGAGCCTTTGATTCAGGATGCAGAACTTAGTGATGTCACTAAAAGTCATCTGCGCATGCAAGAACGTCAAGTTCTCCTTGTCGCGTGGATTCTAGGACGCAATTTGGCCAAATCTACGTATGCAGAGAACGTAGGACGCCCGGTAGGACGGTCACGCATGAATGATTTCGTTGTCGCACAAATCAAAAGCTCCCTAATAACTGGTAATGATTGGTTATCGATTGACACTTAGGAATTCCTGCAAAAACAAGGATTTCTTTTGCACTTCTAAAAATAAATAACTCCACTTCCCAAACTCTCAAACTGAGGAACAATGGATTGGATTTTTTTTTACAAAAATAAATTGCATATTTAGTGTTGCAACTGAAGAAAATTCTGCTTAAATCAATTCTGTATAATTGTTCTGCAATTTAAATTAATTTATTCACTTCATAAATATATTCTGCCTATTCTTCCTAGCACTTAAATATGCGTTATTTGACAATTATTATATCAAACATTGCTGTGGACAGATCGTATTCACAGCACTACTAGAAAAAAAAAAACAACTTACACTGAATGAATCCTCTTTTTCAAACTTGACAGCGATTTCTTTTCCTAATTCGCCCTCTGGAACTTTGACGTCATCACGAGTTTCTCCACCATCATCCATTAGGGAAAGGTATCCTTCATCTATGTTAATAAGCTGAGGGATGAACAATAATCAGTTACAAAAATGAATACTTGGCAAAGACAAGCCAAAATAGTCACTCGTCGCATAAATTGATTTGAGTTATTAATACAGGGTTAAAGAGTAAAATACTAGCTATAAAATGGTACAAAACCATTCAAATCCGACATTTCCTTGTACAGTACTTAGAAGTTTAAACATACAGCTGTTTAGAACAATTAGCCTGCAAAGTTTATGATTTCGGGCATTTATCATGCAGAAACTATCACAAAATTCTTATATGGTGTTGTTTTAGCATCGAAAATGGGGAAAATAACAGCATAGCATGATGTATAGATATTTATATACAGCTTAGTTTAGTGCAATAAAATAGATTTTTACCAATTTGACATTCCAGCATGTTTTGGCTATTTTCTCTGAAAACAATTTGTGACGAGTGACTGGTTTGGCTGGTCTTTGACACATATGTCCGATATATATTTTGCTGAATTCAAAACACTCATCTCCCAATTACATACCCCTCCGTCTGAACACAGGAAGATCGTAATCCAGATGTTTACTTTTCATAGGATTCACGGTGGAATATCAAACAATACCGTGGGTGTTATTTACTATAATTTAATTTTTTAATTTTTTGTGAATTTTAGTAGCCCATTACTTTAATAATCCAAAGTATTTAAATGTCAGTTACTGGTAAAGCCCCACTGTGGAACATTTTGGATCTGGAATTGATATTGTAAAAGTAGTATTGTCACACATTGTTTTAAATTGCTAGTTCTGGGTGTCTACTACTGGACCATAATGTCACCGCTCTGTTAAAATAGTGGACCCTTTTGGAGCAAGGGCCTGGGGCTTCGAGCCCATAGGCGTTATACCACTGCCTAATTGTCGTAGTGATTATGACAGTTGGTAAACTAACTGTTCACTCCTGCCAACTTGCAGCACAAAATGACAACCAGTAATGGTGATCTAACCTGATAGTCTTTTCGCACTACATTAGGAACATCCATGTTGTGAGTAGATGGGCAGATATCCTCATACTTCTTTCCAGTGAAAATGTCAATAGCAACAAGATGGACCTTTAAAAAAGGGCAAAGGTTGGCATTAATACCCAAAAACAAGTTGCTGGAATCCACTTATATGCAAGGTGGTTACTTTTGTAAATAATAATCATTTAGAGCTGAAACAGCATGCAAACTAGTTGCAACAACAGTTGGAAATGCTTTGCTTGGCATTTGATATTGAAAAACAACATGCAACATTTTTTTTAAGTGTTGATCAAAGACATATGTCGAGTCCATAGCCCTCTAGAGGCTCTGCAGTTTTCGCCTCCAAGTGGAGGGGTGAGTTCCTGTTTTTATCCTAGTAGGTCAGCTGATATTCAGGGGCCTCTTGATATCCTTTCACATCACAAGATTCATTTTTTTATTCACAGAAATGTTATATAATTTTAATTTTTTTAAGAGTAATAAAATAATGTTTGATAACATTTGAAAGATAATCAAATGTTTTACCTAAATAAGCTATTTAGTTGGTGTTGTGAAATTTTAAAAAATAACTTAAAATTATTATTTTAATAAACTAATTTTTATCAATAAGTTTGAAAAAAAAAAAAAAACCGAGTCAACAGCCAAAATAAAAAAATGAATCTCTACATCAGCACATATTATTCCTTTACAAAATAAAACTATATTTGAATTTATTGATCAAGAACTGTGGTAGATAACAAATATAAAATTTCACCTCAAGGGGGCCTAGCATAGCCTACCAAGCAGGCCGAACGAGCCTCTCTGAGGCATGTTCACTCACCTGTTGTCGCGCAAGAAACATAATTTAGCTCGCGAAGTGAAATCCATAATTCATTATATTCCGATATGCGCCCGCTCAAAGTCATGTGAAAATCGCACCTAGTATCTTTAAAAATCCAGTTGGTGTCAAAAAAAATTATGAACAATGTGAATAATATAGGAAAAGCTGATATCAATTTTTTCATTATTTCGTAAATTATCTCAACGTGAAGACGTTGAGGCAATTCTCACCAGAAAACAGGAAGTTCAACGCTCATTGTCAACAACCAAGATGGCTGCTAACTATATTGATAGCATGTGATTTTCTTTCAGCAAAAAAAAAAAAAAGGGAAAAAAAAAAAAAAAAAAGAAGGGGAAAAAAAAAATCATTTTTACATGGAAATATGTGGCCATAGTTGCTTTCTGAAAAGAAAGTATTCTTTTACTATTTTATTCATCAGTATTGACAACGGCACCTTTCCGTTCACTGGCATTTTTTTTTACAAATATATGATCAAATTTCGCATTTTTTAATTACTCTATTCATTCAAATTAAAAATGCAAGAATTCAACATAATTTTTTTTTTAATTTTTGATATTTTCTAGAACATTTAGTAAAAATACATGCACACAATACAAATTTTTAAAAATTATTGTTAATTTATTAAGCACGATAGTTAGCGAGCGCTTAAAGCGCTTCTGGTTGTGAATGGGTCAATTAAATAAATAAAATAATGTGATGCTTTATCAGCGGAAGCCTCATTACAAGGCTTAGAGAGGGAGTGGAGATATGTTTCGGCCCTGGGAAAAAATCCTGTGCTGTCACAGGTTTTGAACCCAGGACCCTGAGATTGGAAGGCAAGCACCTTTAACCACTGTACCACATTCTCCACTTTGGCCACTGTCTGTATCCACCACTGCTTAACTTACCTTGGCATGACCATGCTTTCCAGTCTTTGAAGTAGACATCTCTACAATTTTGCAAGGGCGACCTTTAATCACTACGTAACCATTTTTGCGAAGGGAAGAGCACTGGGCTGGAAAGGTATTTGAAGCCCCTGAATCTCCAGAATTAAAATCAGTCATTTTCAATGAAAATCTGCAAAAAAAAAACCCAAAACCCCACATTAGTTTGAATTTTACACCAATCTGTAGAAACAAATAGACACATGACACCGTCCGTGCTTTTTGGAAATAAGGGCCGACTTCTGCACAATTTTTTTTTTTTTTGCCTTGGCCTATCTTCTAATAACCAATTTATTACGCAGTAGTTACGATTTGGCGCACATATTTTCCAAGCGATTTTCCGTACATATTTGACAAAACAACAACTTTTACAGTACATATGGTTGGCAGTTACATTAATCCAATCCAATAAATAAGTAAAAAAGTTTTCAGGAAAAATAACTACTAGGCCCTATTCCGGTTAAAGAAAAATAATCAATTCTCTATGAAATGTTTACTATAAACTTTTTATAATTTTGAAAAAAAAAAAGCTGTATTTTTGAATAATAAAAATCAATGCTGTGAGTGTGAACGTTTATAAATGCAATGTTGGTTCTGAGAACAGCACAAACAGGCAAATTATTACTTGAGTAACAAATATTCAAAAACGTAAAAAGGCAGGTCTAGGGTAGGGAGGCTAGCCTAACTAGAAAAGTAGAGAGGAAGAAAAAATGACCGCTAGATACAAACCCACGTAGCGCCTAGGCCTAGGCTAGGCTTCCTTTTCAAGTTACACACATGTCTGGTTAGACTTTATGTTATTGTTACACAGTAGCATGTAACCACTCAAATAATTTGTAATGAATAAGCGCCACTCTCAAGCGTCTCTCTCTCTGAAGTCAAAGAATATTAGCAGCGTTAGCGCCGAACTGAGGCCTCTAAATTATAAACACCGCGGCACATTTGGACATGCAAACTAGCAGCATAGCGAAATGTTAAATAAAGAAGATGGCGATGGATGGCGACATTTTTCAGAGATCGGGCGAGACTTTGACCGAGAAAGGTTGGTCTAGGCTTGGGCCAATCCAATCCAGACCAACAAAACACGAAACACGATCAGTACAAGTGTACGTGGTCAAAGAATTTTATCAAATGAGATGAAATATACAAAATCATAGCAATATTAGCAACAATTAAACTTGTCAATTTCATATACTCACGTGTATTCTACTTTAGTGCAGATGTGGAAGAGAGAGGATAGAATAGGTTGCAAAGCACGCATGCGTAGAGTTGCAATATGGGTATCGAAATGGAGCATTGCTTATACCCCCTATGCTGATTTAATCAGGGGTCGGTTTCTTCCCATTTCATCACTTTCCCTTTCTTTCTTTTTTTCAGATACAATTAATTAAAGTTGAAATTATTTGGTCTTCTTAACTATAGAAACTAATATAAATATATCATTAAACCAGTTAATTATGTGTGACCAGAGTTTTATGGGAAAAATTTATTTACAATTACCGCTCAAAATCTTATTAAATTGTAGCCTACAGGCAAAAGTTTTCCTCGCTGTTGTTAGTTGGAAGTTTTTACTTTACTTTAACATTCACCATTTTCAGTGGTGCCTCTTTTGAAAATACAAATGGAATACAGAAATGTTATAAAAATTGAAATACACCCATAGTTACCAACGTGGGAGATTTGAAATGAGTGCTAAACCATTTGGCTGGGAAGTGGGCGGGGTCCAGGGGTAGAGCTCGGTGGGGGGTGGCGGGAACTCTGATGTGCATTTAAGCTCTTTTAAAACGATTTCAGGGAGTGTTTCAGGTAGGCCTACATAAGCAAAAAAATTTTTTAATAAAGATACGTACAATATGAATTTCAAGGCAACTATGTAAACACACAAATATTTCTTTACTGATCAATTTTTAGTAACACGTCAGTGAAATAAGTATTAACGTATGCTAAATACTGCACTCTCTAATGACTCATTAGTATGACCGTTTTTTCTTTCTTTGTTTGTTTTTTTTTTTTTTGCTTTATTTTAAAATTAAAATCAATTTCTTCTAATTTTAAATACATTTTCCCCTGAATTCGTGATAATTTTTTATCGCGCATAGACTTCTTGTGCTAAATGCGTGACAAAATTTAGGATCACGCATTTGTTTCTGCAAAATGCATGTTTCATCCAATCACTTTATGCGCGACCGTCCCGCACGATGCGAGACGGTTGGTAACTATGCACCCAGGGCGAATTTGGGGAGGGGAAGCACCCCCCACCTTGTAAGTTAAAAAGCAAAGAAAAAAAGGAAGGAAAGAAAAAGAAATTGCCTCAGAGGTTATCGGCGTCTAGAAAACAAATATTTCACGGGTGATTCCCCGTACCCCCTAGGGTGGTGTTGTACCTATGATCTTCACTTTCGGACATCTCTGGATTCGCCCATTGGCGGCTTTAGGATATATTTTCTGGGGGTGGAGGCCGGGGCTGAGCTGTGCAATAGGGAGACTTGGGCTCGTAGACCCGAGTTGGTGGAAGGGTTTTGAGAATAAGAATAGGAACCTCTGGATGGCCAGAAACGACACTCTGATTGTGACACACCTATTGGCTTGGCGTGGGCCTATTTTTATATATTTTAGTAACTGCCAGACGAGCTCTGTCCGATGAGGTGGGGGGAGACTTGACCTGTCCGGTGGGGGAGGGCTTAAAGCCCTGTTTCCCCCCCCCCCCGCTGGCGCAGTCACTGGGTCCACCCCTGTAGGCCTACTCTATAACAACCAAATTAAGTGAACGCCTAACAATTTCACAATTGATCCTTTCAAAATGAGCTTTTCAAGATTGCAATTTAATATTTGTTTTTTGTTTTTTTCTTTTCTTTTGTAGAGTATATAGACATATTTACAAATGATACCTGCAATTTATGATTCGCCATGCGAAAAAAACTCGAGTTTCGTCTCTTTGGTTTCTATTATGATGTATTTAATTATTTGTATATTCATTTCAAAATATATAACAAATTATTAATATAATTTAATGTATTTATACTGATTTATTTTATTATTTAGAATTTATAACATTATTTCTTCCAGTAGAGGCCCTAATGATGATCGGATCCTCACAAAGTAAACATTAAACAATAAAAAGTAAATTGTTGGAGCAGGTACAATTTAATATATAAGGGTTGTTTTTTTTGTTTTTTTGTTTTTTTGTTTTTTTGTTTTTTTTTTGTAGAGTACATATTTACAAATGATAGGCCTACCTGCATTTTATGATTCGCCATGCGAAGAAAACTTGAGTTTCGTCTCTTTTGGTCTTCTATTATGATGTATTTATTAATTTGTTTATTTATTTCAAAATAATTATATAACAAATTAATACTTTAATTTAATGCATTTATGCTGATCTTATTATTTAGAATTTATAACATTATTTTTCCAGTAGAGGCCCTAATGATGATCGGATCCTCACTGCCAGCTGCTACTTAGGCTGAGCATATTCGGACTATAATAAGAAAAGTCCCCTTCCTATGGTGTCCCCGGAAGAGGGATGGGACGAACGTGTTAAAAATATAATTACTGAGTACCCCCGAATCTCGGTCATGACAAATTATAAGTTTCCCATATATGGGTATATCAAGACATTTGGAACACCTATTTCTATTTTTATTTTATTTCCATCATATTTAATAAGGATCCTTCCAAATCAAAGGCAAGCCAGTTAGCCGATCAAAATACAAAGTCATTAAAAGTTTTAATTAAAACTATGTTTTAAATTTCAAATACGTATTAAACCCCTCCCCCCCCCCACCACTATAATCAAGGGGGTGTAAAAATAAGTCCCTGCCATAATCGTAGTAATTTACTCCATTCTCTGACAAGTGATGTTGCCTTTTTTCTTATTTGTTTTATTGCTTTAAAACATGAATATAGATATATTGTTTTAATCAGTGACTGATCATTTAAATTCATTGTTTAATGTAAAATAATGCCACATGTCATTTTTCGTATAACATTATCGATTGGTGGCGCACTTGACGACTCCGCGTCTTGTCCGTCCCACAATGCATTAGTCATGCAGCATCCAAGAACAACGCTGTGAAAGAGCGGAGCAAATAACATCTTGAATTAACATCTTAACAATGTCTGTGGGCCAGGAACATCATATTGAGAACGAAGAGGCCCCAGAAAAGAAGGTCATCGGTATGTATTTACCTAAAAAGTTAAAATTGAAATTCTATAATTTGTTGAAATGATGGATACATTTTAGGCTGTCTCGTCGTAATGTTCGCAGCAGGCCGTTGATCTCGTCTGAACACGTCGGCGCAGTGCGAGCTGTTGAACGAAAATATACCAACAAAAGAACTTAGTTTTTATGTTTGTACCTAACGATTATCTGTTTTCTTTTGAACCTACATAAGATTTCTTGTCCAAAGATCGTCAATTTTTGCTTCAAACAGCCGCAGTTGTTTGAAATATTATCTCGGCGACGTCAGTAGTATACGAAATACCAAGCATTCTTTCAATCTTACTCGACACAGAACAGCTCGGGAAAAATATTTTTGTATTTTTGTCTACCGAACGACGGAGGGATACATAAAGTACAAGCATGTTTTCATCATTCAGTATTTCTCTTTAGCTTCTCCATGTTTGGTCTTATACTCTGCCAGAGAATTCGTACCAAAGATTGCTGTAAAACCTTTATAATATGTCTTAAAACAGGAAGCCTTTTAAGACTAAAATAATAGAGTAGACATAAAAATGTATTTAAGTGTGAATTTAAATTTTTAATATTCATCATATCATAATTCATATAAACGAAAGTTTCCTCTCTGTCTGAGTGAGTCATGTACAATGTACATGTAAAATGTTTTAATGATGTTCAAAGTAATGATCTAACTAGGACCTGTCTATTTGCATTGTTACTGTATGAAGTTTTTCGATGAGATTGAGATGAGTCGGTCCAAATATAAATAGGCTGCACTGGAAATTCGCAATACTATTTTTAGTGTTAGTAATACTATCTATAAGCTTATAGTAGTAAGGAGTTTAATTTGTTAGTTAAAGTGTCTTTGTAAATTTGTAGTTCTAATTTTTATGTCAGTAGACCGTCTAGGCCTATTTTATTGTTGCCAATCAAAGAGAAAATAAAAAAATTTTCACATAATATTTTAGTGGAATTGATCTAAATTATCAAAAATAATTTGAAGGAGTCAACAAAGAATTCAGAAAAATCCAATTTTCAGACTAATTTTCCTTGTTGAATGTTAATATTACCTGAAGGAGTAAAAATATTTTTTATAAATAATTGATACAGTAGTATTAAATTCTGTATTTAAATTAAGTGAAAGATATTTAGGAAAAGCTACAAATAATTACTTTGTAAATATTAAAATTATTAATTCTATATACAATCAGATTTATTGTATTTAAGATATGTTTAATGCACACAGGGTTTTTTTCATTTCTTCACTATCTTTTTTGAATAATTGAATAAATATGTGTGTTAAGCACAAAACAGCACCAAAGTTGGTGCTTACATTTTTAAAGTTAGTGCGGCCCTTTAGGCTCTTATTCAAAAGTGTTGCTGCTTATAACTGTTAAAGCTGTAGGCCTACCATGCGTTGTAAAAAGGCTATTTGACTTGTTGCAACACATCAATAACAATATTTAATTTGTGAGAAATTTGTTTATCAGCAGCATATTCATATTATAGTTCTCCCCTCCCCCAAATTTGAAGTGACTTTGGGACCTGGAAATTTGGGGTGGTCTCGGGGTTTGGTCTCTAAATAGAGGGTTCGCTTTGTGTAAGAATATTAAAGATTGTTATTTGGTACTTTGAAAAAGTGGTCTTGAATTATAGTAGAGGGGTCTCAAATTAGAAATTAGAAGGGTCTCTCGGAATAAGAGGAGTCTCGAATTAAAGGGTGCACTGTATATTGAATTAGGGGTGGTGAATCATACTATTTTGGACCTAGAAATTTGGGGTGGTCTTGGGGTTTGGTCTCTAAATAGAGGTTTAGCTTTGTGTAATATTAAAGGTTGTTAATTGGTTCTTTGAAAAAGTGGTCTCGAATTAGTTAGAGGGGCCTCGAATTAGAAGGGTCTCAAGGAATAAAAGGAGTCTCGAATTAGAGGGTGCACTGTATAATGAATTATAAGTGGGCATCATACTATTTCGGAGAACTGAATTCATGATTTATTAGAGATTTTATGTTAAAAATTTCCAAAAACCTTTGTGTACTGCTTTTATACCGCTTCACTGTATGCTCATTTGCCCACCTGTGTATAAAACCCATGAATGGGAAAAAAATCATTTTCATATAAATCTTGAACTTGATTGTTTGTCTTTCATCTAGCTAACATACTATACACATTATCTATGCAACAAACAAGATAAGAACCAAAGTTTGATTAGAAATGAGTCATGTTCATTTTTAATCAATTACTTTTTTTAATCCACGATATTTTTTTCCTTTTTTTCAGCCACAAGAGTCTCTGGAACCGTAAAGTGGTTCAATGTAAAGAACGGTTATGGTTTCATCAACAGGTATGTACAGTACTGTAATTAATTGTTCATTATGAGAACTGTTCCCAATCATAAACAAAAGAATCCTTGTTTTACTTACAGTACACTCTCCCCACATTGATGCAAAATGTGTGAATTGTTTTGTTTGCTGTGCCATTCAAATATGAATAGTGATAATCAATACTATCTTTGCAAAGCTTGTGCATTTGTAAGTGCCATTGTCTATAGGCACTGTAACCTGTGGACCTCTGCTGTTACATTGTATTATTATATTGATTTTTTTTCCTGCTAAACTGTATCAATTGTAATCATGCTAGAGTTGGCCTTCGTCGAGATATAATAGTATCATTAAGTAGTGGATGAAAGGTGTAATCATACCAAATTATTCCTATATAGGAAAAAACCTATATTCCCTGTTAATGAAATTTACTGTTGAATTATATTAATTGAAAGATTTGAGAACAGAAACAACTATATATTTTTTTTAATTGCAAAATGGTCCTACAAAAGCCTCTAGGCAGAGAAGAAAATATAATTAGATTTTTTACTGATAAATAAAAAAAAATGTGAGGTGAGATGAGGTGAACCTCGAGGTCGGGGGTTCGAAACTCTCGCTGTGCAAATCGCTTGTGTCCAATTGGGCAAGGCACTTTATCTACGGTTGCCTCTCTCCACCCAGGAGTACAAGTGTGTACCTGGTAGGTTCCAACACAACTGTGCTGATTACTAGCTGCAATATTATGGAATAATAATATCATTTAATTTAATTTGGTGTTCAATGTGTTCCATATGTGTTTGATCCAATGACCGGGGTAGTAATGTGAAGCGCTTAGAGGCTTTTTTAAGGCATTAAGCGCTATATAAGAACAACATATTAGTATTAGTATTTAATTGATCATACCCTTAGATCTTTGCTAAATATTCAGTTGTGATGTCATAAAGAATGTATTGAGGTAGTACAAACAGTTCAGTAATTGGAGTGATAAAATGCGAAACAAAAAATAATTGAAAAGAAAAAATAAACGGCAGCGAGTAAAATTGATATTTTATTTTGATTGGAAATTGTCATTTGTTAAGCGGAGGCTTAACAAAACACAGTATAAAAGTGTCGCTTTTTGGTATTGTACAAGTTAGTATCATTTAAAATTTTTCTCTAGTTTAATATGCTATTTATTTATTATTTATTCAATACCTTTGAGGAAAGATGTGACCCTATTATTAGTAAGTCCAAGTGCGTATTGAGTATTTTTAGAGGGCTCAACTGCTTATTTTTTTTATTGAAATGCGTAGTAAAATAGATTTCGAAAATGTTGGCATTCCAACATGTTTTGACCATTATCTCCGAAACACAATTTGCGTGGAGTGACTAGCTTGGCTTGTCTTCTCCACACATATGTTTATTCAGTAGTATATTTTTTGCAGTTAAAATTGATGTTAAGCAGTAATTATACCCTTGAAAATAATAAATGCTGTGATTGTTAATAGCTCTGATGAGGAGCTCTAGAAACTAATTAATGGAACTTTTTTAGCTCTACTGCCTCTGTTATACTGCCCTCATTAGGAGCACTAGAAACACTCGGCTGATTGATTAATAGTCGATTGATTAATAGATCTTTTTTAGCTCTACTGCCTCTATTATACTGCCCTCATCAGAGCTTTTAAGATTACGGGAGCTTATGTAATTTATTATTTTTTTTTATATTGGCAGAGATGATAATAAAGAGGATGTCTTTGTACATCAGGTAAGTTAATCAATATTTTGTGACTGTTGCTTAGAATGGCAGCAGCAGATTTCTTACCCTCTCTAATATGCAAATGAGTAAGTATTCTGGGAACTGAGAGACCAACACTCTAGTTGACATCCCAATTAAATACAACTTGAAGTGGCATATCTAGTGGGTTCGCAAGCCCCCTTCCCAAAAAAAGCCCCATTCTTCCCCCATTAAAATTTCTGAAGCAAAAAAAATGAAATCATACCACCTTATTTGTGACCTAGTCCCTTTACTTAATCATTGAGTCACCACTCCACCTTCATTCCCCCATTAACCTTCCTATTTCAAGACCACTAGATAAGCCACTGCAACTTGTGGATCCGGTTGGCATTTCAACAAAAACAAACTCGAGCGTGGCAGTAGTCACATGTTTAGACCCTATTTTGTTATATTGCATGTCAATATTTATAACAAGTAGGGAATATATAATGTTATTGATACATGAACGGATTTGAGATCAGTCATTCCAATCAAGGTTCTAGGTCACTCAGTGTAAAGTTGGGGTGGGGGTGGTGTTATCCAATGTTTTTTTTAGCAAAATGTACCGTCTTGAAAATGATGGAAAAAGTATAATCCGTCGATAATTGTTAACTTAAAATTTGAAGTTTGTATAGTGAAGAACATTAGAAACAGGCAATGAATTATCAGAATTACGAATAGTTTAACACGTTGACTGCCAGACCTTTTTTTAAGGTTCCTACCCGTGTGCCAAACCAAGTTTACATGTACAAATATACTTTCTTGAAATTTTATATAGTCATACATCATCAAAATATCAAAATAATGTGTGTAATAAATTGGTGGGAAAAATGAACTATGCCAAGTGCGAGTTATCTCGTCCGCTTTTTGCATGGGTTGGTATATGTTCAAGGGGCGCCCCCACTGTGCTGCTTGAGTGTACTACCGGCAACATTACACAACAAACATACATACATCATCTGTACGTTATCGTCTAGGTGTATCTTCCACGAGCCGTTGAAGTCTGTGGTTCTAGAATTTATAACAATGATAATAAACTTTATTATATTATATATAATAAATATTAAATATTAGAATGTTACCCCAATTTTGACGAGTATACTCGGCCCTGGTGCCCTCAGCAACACCCTGTGGGCGACTACTCATCGCTGGTAGCCAAAGTGCTAGACCGGTGTACCAGTAATAGCCTCTGCCTAAAGTAATATTAATATTCTACACCAAGTTATTTCCCACAGTTTGGATTTAAACAGTTTAATGCTATTGTAATAATAAAAATTGTTTCCTTTGTAGACTGCAATTAAGAAAAACAACCCGAAAAAATATCTGCGTAGTGTGGGTGATGGCGAGGCCGTAGAATTTGACGTTGTTGAAGGAGACAAAGGCACTGAGGCTGCCAATGTCACAGGACCAGAAGGAGCCCCAGTTGAGGGTAGCAAGTATGCTGCCGAGAGACGCAACTTCCGCCGTCGTTACTACCGCAGACGGCGCCCACAGAGGGAGAATGGAGAAGTGGGTGAAGGAAGTGGCGGAGAGGGTGAAACATCCGAAGGAGCTGGAGATGGAGAGAAGAGAAATGTCCGTCGTAGGGGACGTGGTGGAAGGTATCGTGGTGGATACAGGAGATACCGTGGCCCGCCACGTAACCGCTCAGATGATGATGATAAGGAGGTATGTTTTTTTTTTTTGGGTGGTGTGATTTTTTCACAATTTTAACCATCTTTTATATTCAATGTTCATCCTTTGTGACAGCTTTGCATCTTATATAAATGATTAACCACTTGTGGCAAAAAGATTAAATACTGCATGGCATGTATCAGGTGGAGCAAAAAAATAATATGCCATAAATTAATAAGATAGTTCTAAATGTTTTAGTGTATGTCTTATGTGTTTATTAGAGGAATAATCCTGATAAATCCTTTGAGAATTATTAAAATCTATTTTCTTCTAATGCTATGAGGCTGTATGTACTTTAATTTATATCTTAGACATGCCCTTTGACCTCTAACCTTAAACAGATAGATAGATAGATATTTGTACATTTTTTAGAATCGCGGTGAAGGTGTTGAGGGCGAGAATCAAGGCGAAACTCAGAGTGAACGAAGACCTCGTCGGGGCGGATACAGAGGCCGTGGAGGCAGGAACCGTCGTTACCGTGGACCACCGCGTACAGAAGGCGAAGGTGGTGGCGAGGGTGATGATGAAACCCGTGGGACTGATGGTGAAAAGCGTGGTGGACGTCGTCGCCGATTTCGTCGCCGCCGCGGTGGACCTCCAAGAGAAAGTAACGAGCAAAAGGAAGGTGGTGATGAGGTAATTTTACTGTTTACTTACCATTTGTATTGTGGGTAATTAATTAAGAATATGGGGCTTGCCATGCCAAAACCAGAATCGACTTTTTAACATTCATATTCTCCACGCTTTAAGCTTTAAAATGATATATCATTTACTATGGGAAGTGATTTACTATTGCCAGAGTTATGAGTAAGTATTACAGCTTCTCTGTGCTGAAGTATACAATACTGCTACATTCTTATGCTAATTAGTTTAACAGTTAACGACACAACGCTGGTATTAGAATGGCAAGCTTCATATGAGCTATGTAGCCTGTTGTTTAAAATACTGCCTTCTAACCCAGAGACAAGTCCTGCAAAAATTATTTTTTTCTCTTGCAATATGATGCAAATCCACTGCCTACGCCCTATGTTTAGATAATCCTGTGTAATTTCCATGCAAGAAAAACGGACAACACAATAGCATTAGCATTGATATATCCATGTGCTCACAGGGCATAGCTTATTTTTTACAGTAGTATCATGCATGCCCACGTTTTACATTTAATTATGAAACTACATTAAATGCAGGTTTGTTTTTAAAGTAGTCTCCCGCAACGCAGCTATATAATTTTGTGGTTATCCAATGATGGTAATATAACAATAATCCCTGCTACCTTCCATGAAAAAATGATTTTATATAATATTGACCTTGCCATGCCAAAACTGTGACAAAAACATGAAAATTTAATATATTTATATTCTCCAAAATCATTACTTTAAATTTATAAAATAATAGGTCATTTACTTGAATCAACTTATTATTGTCAAAGTAATATTATTGCGGCTTTTCTGTATTGGAAGTATACAATACTGCCTCTTATGCTAAATACTCACTTTAACATTTAGCATATGTTGGTTTTGGGGTGGCCAGCCTCGTAGTTTTGTTGTCATTGTGCTTGATAATAAGAAGTTTCATTATGAAGGACATGTGGTGGAGTTGTAAATTGTAAGAAAAAAATTCTGTTTTATTTAAATGATTTGTGACACAGGATTTGAATTCAGGAACTGGGATTGGAAAGGGATTTTTACCGTCACTGCCATTAACATAATATTTTTTTTTTATATTTTGTAGACCGTTAGCGATGATAACCCATCCAAACCATCAGGTCCTCCACCTGTTGCGGCAGAAGTCGTACCAGTTGAGAACGGTGTACCAGCAAGCGATTAGGATTTTTACACCCAAGAAGCCATCTTTAAGAGTAACATGTCCAGGAGATATAGTCTACAGTTACCTCTTGCTATTTGGTTATTAAAAACCCCTTTATTTCTGACAAAATCATTTCTTTTCGCAAATGTTCTCAAGATTTTGAAACAAAAAGATTTAAGAAAAAAAAAGAAAAATAATAATAAAAAAAGAAACGAGCAATAATTTCAAAACCTCTTTTATACCAATAAACAATGAAACAAACCAATGAATTTTATTCATAAATTCTAATTTGAACATTACATTGAGAAATAAGGAAAGAAATTGCTTAATTTTTTCAGCTGAATTTAACCCAAAACGAAGAGTTAATTTTCTCCGTTTTAGTTCCAACATTATTTTGGGAGTATGGATGTTATTAGTTGCGGTGGAGAGCTGTCTGCAACTGTTGGGAAACTCAATTTAGAAAATTTACTAATAATTCCATAGTACAGTTGACCATTATATTTTTCCAGAAATTTATCTGAAATACAGTAGTGACGTGCAGGATAGCTCTCCAAAAGTTGGAAAAATTAGATTTTTTTCTGTTAAGGAATTTTAACATCTAGATTATCACAGTTCATTTTTATTAGTCAACATGTACTCGATAAGAGAGTGATAAAATAACACCATTAAAAAAAAAAAACAACTATAGAAATTTGTTTTTATTGTCCATTGATGTGTTTATAGTTATGAAAGTGGCTATTTAAGCTTGGTTTTCATACAATCACTACACGCTGATTTTAGTGATGCTGATTGTTCGATCTAATCAGGGAGCCTTTCCCGATTGCGTCAAGGACGGCTACGCGGTAAAACGATTGCACTGAAAACACTGTAATGCCAGTGTAGCGATTTTAAGGAAACCATGCTTCATATTTAGTTGCAGCAGGTACGAGATTTACTAGAGTAAACGTGCAATTGCATTTCACGACATCAAGCCAATAAATAATGCACCAGAACGAGCAGTATTCACATGTTCTACAAACATACGTTTAAGCTAAAAACCAATTGTTCATAATATAGAAAATAACAGAAACAAGTTTTCACACTAGCAGAATTGATGATGATTTATTACGTATATGATAACAAAAAATAATGTCAAAAATCAATGAAATGTCATAATTATGGGGAAACAATTAAATCATTTTTACTACTATGATTTTATCGTTTCCCATGATTATGACGTCATTTGATTTGATAAAATAATTTTTTTATTGTATACTGTACATGATAAGATTGTATAATACATACTACAATTATCGAAAATTAAAATGCACGCCATCGTGTTGTGTTGCTTTTTAGCTTATCGTCATAGTGTAAACAGGCCTTTAGGATAGCACTAGATGTAAACTCGCTACGTGCAGAGGTTCCAAGTCTGGTGTAAGACTCGCGCTTTGAGACCTAATCTAAAGCTCTCACGCCAGCCCCTTGAAATCTAATACTTAAATAGCAATTGCAGTTTTATGTGTAAAAGGCTGCTTGAATTATTAGTGTGTCCTAAAAATTGTCTTGGGGCTCAATCAAGTATTATGTAACACATTTTTTGGCAAAATATTGACATTCCCCCCGTAATACTCTGTAACACTTTTCCAAACCCCCTCTAAATGTAATGTAACTCTAGAACCACCCCCCCCCCCCTTTCCGAACATCAACAATTTTAATAAAATCAGATGAACAACATTAAGTATCAGGATAAATGTCCTCCACTACAAATTTGTCCTACACTACAAATTTGTAGGATGTTTTGTTATTTTTTGATATTGTAGATGTAACTTCATTGTTATTGATTTCACAAATTCAACACAACTGTGTTACATTACATTGTATTACACTGAAGTAATATGTTTCAATAAAGTAATATCATACAAGTTTGAATATTTAATACTTCTTCTCTTCCCATGAAGTTAATTTTGTTATGTAACACTTCAAGCAACACCCCCCACCCCTGTGTCACACACTGTAACATTTTCCACTGCGTTACATAATACTTGAATGACCCTTTGGAATGCATAAACAAGAATGATTACTGTCAGCTTTTATTGCAAGAAGTAAATTGACGATGTTGGCCTCTCATATGCAAAATCAAATCTTCTTTTGATGGCTCAATTCAACTTTCAAATTGAAGTCTGAGAGTGCCAATTGTGGACATCTAGAGGTGCTAAAAATAACAATTTTGCACCTCAGTTGCAATAATGATGGGGTTGAGGTAAGTGTGGACTCTCAAGCCAGTTGATGTTTTTGGGAATTCTGGTTTAATGAGCTATCTTAACGCATCCAATTTATTTTTCTATTCTGGTGATACCAAGTCAGCAGATTTCATGGAGACAACTATTATTACTAAGGGGGTGTCTACTTAATAGGGGTTGTTGTAGTGTTTAAAGATACTTTCCCTAGTTTAGTGACCGAGAGTGTCCCTTTAATAGGAGTGTCACGGCACCATTGTAAAGACGGTTTATAGATATTGCATTACTTGAACAACAGTTGCTGCCTATTTAATAAGCTCACAATAGATCTAATGCAAGCAGTGGTGTGTAAACAATGTTATGATAACACTAAATCTGCATCACAGTGCAATCAATGGCAGGCAAGTATGTCATTCGTCATTCATAGGCATGTTAGGGGCGGCCTACCAACCCTGCCGACACATACTTCGTAAAGTAACTCATTATAATATAGCCTACTAATGCCAATTAAATGTCAATAGCTGCCAAATGCTACAATTAGACTGGTTACGGTCAATTGGAAGTTTGCGGACTAAAAAAATATACCCATGCCTCAGCATCCATGTCGGCGCCAAAAGGAATTAAAAGGCTACAAATGTATGTTGCATGTATATACCACTGCACTGAACCCAGGTCTATTATTATTTCCATTGAGTGGTGGACAAACTACATTTTAAAGGAAAAATCATTCATTTTTAACTGATTGTTTAAATCAAATATGCCAAAATAGATAACATAAATATTGCAACTTCTAAGCACAGAGGGATCTAGCTGCCAAGAAACTTCCAGTAGAATTATTCTTGGGAATAGTTTTTCCCCAAAAAGAATTGACATGAGTGTGCTCCATCCCTTGTTATCATAAAACACAGAGTTGGGAAAACGCAACATGTAATGGAGCACACTCATGTCAATTTTATCCCCAAAAAGAATTGACATGAGTGTGCTCCATCCCTTGTTATCATAAAACACAGAGTTGGGAAAACGCAACATGTACTTCGACAAGAGAATGTTCCATCTTTCGCCATCGGGAAACACCACAGAATTTAACAAGAACACAAAGTCCTCGATGAGTAATGCATATCCCTGATTAGAGTAAACAAGACACTGTGATGTGTTCTCAACTTGTATCATCAGTTTGGGCAATGCAAACTTTTTTTATCCTAATAATTAGAACAAATAAATCTTGATAACATCTAATTTTTTTTATTTTTTTTATTACAAATTGATTTGAAGTCTTCTAAAAAGATTAAGATGCAACATGAACACCAAATTATTGCTTCATTTACATAAGAATGTACAGTGTTAGCATGATGATGTCATAACACACCTATGTAATAATGGGCAAATTACATAAAACTTGAGAGTGGGTGGGAGGGGAGGGGGGGGGGGAAGAGCCAAGAAATTAGTATACAAATACTGACTGATAATAGGTTACAGTCTCCATATCACTAAGGGGCTATAGATTTCACTGTTCCCTGAATCTAGAGCAATAGATATTTGTTTTATATACCTCATACACAGATTCTACGAGGCCTAAGAAAAGTAATGAAATGAGTACCCACTAAGTACGGCTAGCATCGATTGGCGCGGCCAAAGGGCTAATCTCTTGTTGTAGAGGTCGCAGTCCTACTTACTGTCCATGGTTGTCATAAATTACAGTGACGGTAAAAGTGGGGCCTAGAGATTACATTGCAATGGGGGGAAAATGTAATCAATTAACGTGATAATTTTTTTACCCGGGAATTTATGAACTACAGTACCATTCAACCTACGTCATAGGAGTGATTGTTGAAGTTATTACCTGCTTTTTAACCAATCGGATGCTTGGGAATCTATGTATGCGGTAATGAGGAACACCACTACAACACTTCTGCCAATCCTAACATAGTGCTGCTTATTCACATGAGTACACATTCCCTTCTTACCTCTATGGTAAACACTGACCCACACTTAAAACTATTTTTCCATACAGTACAAGTCTTTAATTTAATAGTACAGTAACGTATTACTTAGTGCATCTTATGATTGCCTTTATGCACATTTCATCAAATAAGGAATAACATAAAAACGATTTGGTCGTGTACACCAAGAGTAGAACAGCAGAACTGCGGCACAGTGGGCTAGGTTCTGGTAATGCCTCAATATAAAAAAAATCAGCATTTCATCGAGCACCATATTAAATTTTGTTTAGTCTCAAGAAGGTCTGTCCAATGCTGCTTGTTATATTTCAGTCTCATTACATTTCCCCGCTACAGGATATACGATGTAACTGTCTCGTTGCCCAACTATTGGCTATTCTGTTCTCTTCACATCTCCCCACTACTGGCTGTTCTCTTCTCTTAACATCTCCCCACTATTGGCTTTTCTCTTCACATCTCCCCACATTGGGAGATTACAACAGGGATTTTTGGCTTGTTGTTGGACCCAACTGGAATGTTCTGAAAAATGGAGAACCAATAATATTAATAACAAAAATGAACTTTAATACCTTTATTATATAAATAAAAATATTAAATTTAAAGGCAGTAATTAGTAACTCTGCAAGGGTAGTGTGATTCAGTGGTTAATGAGCATTCCAATTAAAGGTGGCTCCAGAAATGTGTCAACAAGGGGAAAACAATGGCCGTATTCGCCTGGTTGTTCTTCCTTAAACCACGCCCACCTGCGCAGGTAAAAATCCAACTTAACGAAGAGTCGACCAATTGGATATAGAATTGGTAAATACTCGACAAAACAAAATGGCTGCATAGTTACCGTGATATATGCTGCGTAATCAAGGTTGCTTTGGCTTGTGGCAGTATGGCAGTATTTTTTTCTAAAATACCTGATTTTATGGTAAAAATTGTGCTCATAGTCATAGAGATGTTACATTTTATACCCAAAGCATTTTCCAAAGTAGTTTTAGGTAACACCATGATGAACTTAATTCATGAGAAAAAATGACTGCAAAAACTAACCTCAATTTTTCTCATCACTAATAAACCATCGATAACTTTTCCAAATACAACATGTTTTCCATCGAGGAAATCACATTTCGCACATGTGACAAAAAATTGACACCCATTGGTTCCTGGACCGGAGTTGGCCTAGATAGAAGAAATTATTGAAAAAAAAAAATCTTTCATTTATTCACCATTTTTAAAAGAGTACAAAACATACAATAACAGAAGGGGTTAACAATGTTCAGTATTCTTTTGTGGAGAGGGGTCACATGTTTTGGCCTAGTGAGATGAGATTATTAGAAATATATTATCCATTTTGTCATCAATTTTATGAGAGTAAAAACATACCAGAATGAGGGGCAGCACCCTTTATGAAAATGAAAAAAAATGATGATCTCAAAAATTAATGATCTTCTGTGGGGAGGGGAGGTTATAGAAAAAGAATATATATTGAGCTCTCTTAAAAATGGTCTCCCCTTACTGGATAATTGTGATTCATGCAATATTTTTTTAAGAAATATGTGCCCTGAATGGGAAAATCCAAGGTAACCAAACAGTATTAGGTTCAAATTTTAAAAGTGGCAAAAAATATATATCACAAATATAAGCAGATGGAATTTTCTTAATTGTATTTTCGATCCAACAGCAATATTTTGAAAATTGATATGTAGACCAAAGCTAGAGAATGTTCAAATTATGTTAATCTGTAAAACAGAAATGATGTATTGTAAGCAAACCCCTCCCTTAAACCCCTTAAATTAAAGAAAAATAAAAAATCTAACCATAGATAATAATCCAGGAGAGTCGTGCTTTAGTTTGAAATTCTCATCTGCAAATGATGTCCCATATATGCTACACATTCCAGTACCGTCACCCTAAGAATGAAAAAAAAAAACATTGTTAAATAGGGGTGAATTTGAGGGAGGGGAGGGGTTTGCCTACACTGGCTTAGCCACACTAAATGTCCGATAATTTAATGAAATAAAAAATGCGGAAGAATGAAAATTGCATTCGAATTTATGCCCAAGAGTGGAATATTTGGCCATCTGGAGGTTCCATAACTATAACATTTTGTTTGTCAGCTTCAACCCTGGTGGGGCTGAGGCGGTTTGGACCCTCCATCTTTAAAAGTCTCGCTCTGACTTCCTCTATTTTAATTTCTTGATCGGCTACCATTCAAGAAATACTCTGTACTGAGCCAATAAATACAAATATATATTTCAATTGCTTCAATTTATATTTTAAAGTTATTAGATATTCAAAAATTATAACAAGAAAATATTTTCTTGTCAATCAATCAACCGTTCATCCCGGACTATCAGCCGCACTATAGGGCTGCTGGTATTACTCACTTGAATTTCCCCCCATTAGGTCATCGAGTGCTTTTCTTGTTGGATGCCACACTATGGGTGTGTGAGTGCCTCTTTTGCTACCCCTGGATCCGCCACTGCTAGAGCTTACCATCGTTGTGCAATTAAAACCTCCCTATACCCATTTCACACTAGTAGAAAATATTACAACTTTTAACAACTATTAACAAGTTGTAACAAGTTTGATATTCCGAGATTTTTGGTTCGTTTCACACATGTACTTTCAAACCATGAGAAATCTCGGGAAAACTCGGAAGAATATTATGACTAGGCCTAGAGTAGTACTAGTAGGCCTAGGCTAGTTGTAGGTTGTCCGAATTACATATCAACTACTAAACTAGGCCTGGTACCGAATTAACAAG